ACTGTTAGCCGGCGGTTGTGTGTGCATCCCCGCTCAGAACGGGTTGAAAGATACCTTGGCAGAGACGATAGGCCGGCTGCGCGTCAATCGCCTCGATCTCACACCATCGGTTCTGCGGCTGCTATCGCCCGAGGCCATTCCCTCAGTCCGCACCATAACCCTCGGTGGGGAGCCTATGGCTTCCAAGGACGTCGAATCCTGGGCGGGAAAAGTGCAGCTGATGAACTGCTATGGGCCGGCCGAGTGCTCCTATTGCGTCACACAATCGCAAGTTCTCCACCCGCACCGATCCAATCCTGGGAATATTGGTCGCGGCCAGGGTGCCATCTGCTGGGTCGTGGATCGCCACGACTACCGGCGGCTGGTGCCCATCGGAGCCGTGGGTGAGCTGGTGGTTGAAGGGCCCATCGTTGGTCGCGGTTACCTGCATGATCACCAGAAGACGGCCCAGGCTTTTATCACAAACCCACCCCCATGGCTGAGGCGATTAGGGCGAACTGGGCTGCTGTATAAGACGGGCGACCTAGTCCAGTATACTACGGACGGATCCTTGCTGTATATTGGGCGCAAAGACGACCAGGCCAAGCTGCACGGGCAACGTCTCGAGATGGGCGAGGTCGAGTACCATGTGCGCCAGTGCTTTCCATCTTCCCGAGAAGTCGTCGCCGAACTTATTATGCCCCTTGTCTCCAACGGAAAAGCAGAAGCACTGTTGGCAGCCTTCATTGAGACGGATCAATGCGATTATCGAAAAGGTCAACCGGATCAACCAGACAAGATTTTCTGTACCGCCACTTCCGAGTTTCTCGCCGGTGGGCAACATGCAAGAGAACGACTGGAGCACCAGGTGCCAGGTTACATGGTGCCTAGCATTTTCATCCCGCTGTACCGGGTGCCATTGACACACAATGGGAAAAAAAATCGTCGCCTGCTCCGCCAGCGAGCGTCCCAAATTCCCCGCAAAGACCTATTTGCGGCATACGCGCAGCGGGCTGGAGGGGTCAAACGCCCTCCTTCGACACGGACGGAACGCCTCCTGTTGTCTGTGCTGTCACAGGTACTGGAGATTGAACCTCACGATATTGGAATGGACGATAATTTCTTTTCCCTTGGTGGCGATTCCATTGTCGCCATCCGATTTGCTCAGCTTGCGCGCCAACATAGTCTCTTTTTCCGCGTCGCCGATGTATTTCGTAATCCGAGAATATCTGATCTAGTGCCTTCACTTAGAGGCACAGACGAAAGTACTGCGCGAGACCCGGCACCAGCAGCTACGAGCACTGAACGGTATTTCGGATTCAAGTCTTGGGAGAAACTAAGAAAAGCATTTTTATCCTACTCACTGTCCTGTCTAGGCCTCCAACTGCGCCATGACGATGTTCAAGATATTCTTCCTGCTACAGAAAGTCAGGACAGTAGCTTGCGGCTCCCTTGCACCCACTTTATCCTCAATCTGCGTGGGCCAATGGACAATACAAAGCTCAAGATGGCCTGTCAGGCATTGATCCAAAGGCACACGATCTTACGGACCATATTTCTGCCGTACCAATCGAAGACGGCACAAGTGGTGTTGCAGGAGCGCGCCATAGACTTCTGGCGAAGTGTCCATTGCGAAGGTATCGACCTGGTCAAGGCGACTAGTGATCTGATCAATACGGATTGCATCCCGATACCTTCAATGAGTGTGTTCATCACTCAATTCACTTTGGTCCAGGGGCGCGATGATGACCACCGGTCTTTGGTGGTGCGGCTCTCGCATGCACAGTATGATGCATTCAGCATCTCGACCCTCCTAGGCGATCTCAAGGCCCTCTTTGAAGGTGCCTGCCTGCCGCAAGCCCCTTCATTTGCCGCTTATTTGGATGAGTGCACGATAAGCCAGTCGGACCGCGCCGCCGACTTCTGGACGAGACTCCTCAGAGATTCTCATATGACCCGCCTTGGAAATAGAGGCTGCGGACAGGAGACATTGGATTTCACCACCCTGGTAGAAGATGAACGGACCATCGTTCTCCCTTGTCCGCTTGTACGTGGGGAGACCACTTTGGCGAACTTGATCAAAGCGGCTTGGTCCTTCGTCCTCTCTCAGCTGGGCAGCTGCAGAGATGTAATGTTTGTTCAGACAACTAACGGTCGGCACCTGGCTTCTGAAGAAACTCAGAGTGTCGTCGGGCTCTGTATCAGACGTCTCCCCGTGCGGGTGGCGCTCGATCCTACCTGGACGGTCCTGGATCTCCTTCAGGTCATCCAAAATCAGCACAGTGACACCTTGTCGTTCGAATCGGTTGAACTTCAGGAATTGGTGGAACTTGACTCGCTATGGGGCCCAGGGGTGCATTGTGGCAGCATCCTAGTGCACCAGAACGTGAACCCAGAGAATAGCTTCAAAATTGGCCAAGCGAATTGTTCAGTGCAGAGTGTGGCCAAGCCGTATCCGACAAATCATATATTGATTGAGACCATCCCCAGCAACTCCAATCTTCGTGTTCGGCTGGTAACCTCAAGTCATATCTTGGACAAGTCAGGTGCGGAGATGGTTCTGCAGCAGCTCTGTGACACCATCATGCTTTTCGCCAGTTCGCCCAGTGTGCCACTGGCGGAAATACAGATGAGCCCTGTTCATTAGTATAAGACTACATAGATAGGTGGCATATGAGCGGAGAGAAATCAATCCAAATTATGATACTTGCTCCTTGGCAAATATAAGGTATATAAAGTACAATTCTCCTCTGTTGCCTGGAATTATCAACGAACTAGATTAAATTGAATTAACATATACGGAGTAGAATGTTTTGAAACATACAGATAGTTATACCAGGACCCACATGGCCTTGTACTGAGATGGCCAATGGCCGACTACCATCAGCTGTCATGATAGAAATTGAAAAGCAAGGCAATAAATTGACGATTCCTTAAGGCTGTCTGGATGGCTCATTCTATGGTTGGGACTAAAGAAAACAAAAGAAACAGATGGGAAAGACAAAATAGAACGAGCGGTAAAAACGGCGGTCGGGGTTTTGCCTGACAGTAAGTACTATTAGCGCTACGCCCAAATGCATTGTTATGTCTGCCTGATAATCCTGGCTGCGTTTTTGTCGTCTTCTGCCTGAAGTGAAGTTTGTACTAATTTCCAATTTGGGCTGCAGGGCACAGGGTAAATCAAAGGTGCTTATGCAACATGCTCTGATTGATTGGCCATACTAGATGGCCCACCACATGTTATATAAGTTAGTTTCAATAGAAAACGTTATCTAAGTTGTTTGAATGAATTCAAATTTTTGAGTACAGATCCAGGGGGAAGATCACGTGGAAAGATCATGTTGGGTTGACAGGAGCAGGAGTCTTATGATGACAGCTGCCATTGTTAATGAATGCTTTCCAGGCTTCATGATTCTAAATGTAATTTCCCAACTTACAGATGTTCCGCATTGCCGGACTTCATTAATGATGGCATCTTCAGTTCGGAAAGTAAATCGGTCCTCAGAGATTGCTGTAGTATAACCTTTGTCAACAATAGACCAAATCCTTATCTGTCGACCCTGAAATACTACGTTGCTCTCCTTAACTTCTGATATGGTGAAATTGCTCCTTAATCTTTGCCTTGTCCTTACCTTTATGGTACTTTTTGCTGGTGTGCCAACATGCAAACTCGGTTACGGAAATCGTCTACAGGTTTTATTATTGTGAGAATTGACGCAAGACAAGACCGTTTTTGGTGGGATCTCTGATGGAATGATGTCAACTACTCTCGTGCTTATTTAAAAGAAATCTCTGCATCGATTTGCAAGACATCTTCCCTGTATGCCGGCTAACTATAAAAGCAACAAGGCTGTCACTCATCATGGCTGTTGTTGGCAATGCATCAACCGGTCAACGCAAGGTCTGTTAGCAATCCGTATGAAGGTATGGAAGTAATTGAAGGTATCCTGGACGGAACAGATCTCATCATATTGGAGTGGCTTTAGCAGAGAGCAGCAATCATAGAGTATGAGTTTGCGAAGAGAGAATGCTGGCATAATTTGTGAATCTTCTGTGGACGCGTATCTCAACAGAATACTAAAGGGCTAGTTAAGACAGTTGTCGTTAAAGCGTGTATTTCGGATCCAAATTTCAGAGTGCAGAGGCTAGAATTATTTGCAGATTCAAACTCTCCAAAGCTAGTTCAAAGTGTAAGCAACTCGAAGAGCAAGTAGCAGTATAAGGAAGCACACGTAAGTTCACAGACTATTACTAGCAAAGGTTTGAAAAGATTAGTAAAAGAGATGGATCTTATAGCCCTATGTATATTTTGTAATGTTAGTTCGGCCGCTACACATTTCGCGGAACCGGTTTAGAACTCTCATGACTTTCGAGGGCTCCTACTGTCCTTTCCTCGCTTCTTTCCCCTCTGACTTTCACATTCACTGAGTAAAAATTGCTTTCGGTAATAGAAACATCTAGCTCTTCGGTCTTCAGACCTGTTTCGAATACGTCTCCCCGCGTGTCATTGCGACTAATGCCATTTGGAAATTCTCAGTCGTGTGCAGTATACTCTGTTTAGCATGTTGCATATTCTGCGCGAGAACCATTCAATCTATGTATTGGACAATGATTGCAGGGAACGAAATAGAATTGAGAGTATAACGCTCTAATAGGGCCAACACTAAAATCTACATTCCGTATACTACTTATCCCTGATGCCAAGTTGGAATGGTTTCCAAAAAAAAAAAAAATGGTCACCATAACCTTTGACTTGACTTCGCTCGGGACAGCCTCAGGGGATGGCGGATAAGAGTCAATCTTTCCACCCTCTTCAATGATCCTCGTGCGATCACGAACAGTCCAGGGCTCGCACATAGGGATCTGGCTGCCTGCAATTCTTAGATAGTTGCTTGATTACCGAGTCTCTGCGCGCATGCAGTGACTCATCCTTCGAGCCTGAACAAGCAGAAACATGAAAAGCAAAAGATGATAACGACTTTTTCGTTTTGGTTCGATATCTAAGCGGGTTCTATCTTCATTCAACATGACTTTGCGCGAAGCCATGCAGCAAGGGGGCCAAAGAATTGAGTCTCTCTCAACTCAGGACGCTCGCAAAAAGACAAAAGAGAACTATCCCGCAGAGCCTTGGTTGTTCCAGTTGCACGTAGTAGTTTTGCTTGATCAACAGGGCAAATGTAAGGTGGTTGTCTGGCATCTTCTTGGATCGAGCCAGTGCCTTGCATACAACAGGCGTAATATACACAATGATCAATGCCAAAACAATGGCCAAGCTCATGGCTAGCTGTTCTACAAATTCGACCAAGCCATAGCGCAGCAAGGGATTCTTCTGTCCAGTCTAAGGCTGCCAGGGAACGACCGACCGAAAAGGCCATGCCTAAGGGGGTTGAGGGTGGTTCATTCGGACAACTTGACTCCTGGTTTGTCTGTGCTTTTGCTGAGTGAGACTTTTTCTGACGTTTCGTCCTGGGCTCAGAAAGAGAACAGCATGTAGACATATACTCCGCACAATGCGACAGGGGCCAAGCGTGGAGACGGTCAACCGATTGGAAAGCATCTAGAACTGGATTATATCGTGCATTTGAGACCACTGCTACTCGGCTTCCACCATATGCACGACCGCATACAAATATGTCTTCATCATTCTCGTACAAATCGTGGTCTGTTAAGAGTAGAAGCGCATAGGCGTCTTTTGGGAGCATGCTGATTGCAGCATCGAGAAGATCGTCAAGATTTAGTTGCCTGGAGTATATGCCATCAGGGCATGCTCGAGTGCGTATACCCACACATTCATCCGCGACCCTTAGTCCGACATATTGGGGGTCTGGAAGGGGTCTTTTTGACTTTTGGGATTCTTCCCATGACATGAACTCTGGCGGTGACTGGGTCAGAGCTTTGATTGGCAACCCATGGTAGAATGATGCCAAATAATCGCAAATATCCAGGAACTTGGGTGTGGGGACAAATGGTGTCTCTCCACCATCACGAGGCATGCTCCAGGACTTCATGAAGCTAACTTCATCGCCCACCAGTGGTGCGGGCACTACATAAACTGTTCTGCGTTTTCCGGTGACTGGGTTTCGTTCTTCTTCACGAAACCATTCTTGATAGCTCTGTGGAGGGCACTCAGGGTCCTCTGAAAGGTCGTCACCGGGTAAAATCAAGGGGGGAGGAAAGATTTCAGGATTATCGACCATACATTTCACCTCTGGGAGCAGGGCTTCTGTGGGTTCCCCCGCGGCCAGTCTTTCTGCTTTATCAGGTCGCTTGAACCCCACCGTTCTAGCATGAGGGGAAGACGTGTAGCAGATGGACGAGTGAGTGCAAGCCGACGACATAGTTCAGTTTCTCGCAGATATAGCGTTGGCTTTCTTTACAGGAAGTGAACAGATTTATTTAAATCTGCGGCTCTTTGGTGGGTCCCATGACCCCATTCTTTTAATGCCCCACTTGTCAACCTAGAGGGAAAGATGGTGCTATAGATTTACATTCTGGTATGACATAAAGATGGCAAGTGGCTGAGTAAAGTGGGATGATAGTGCGACCGAATGACACTGGAATGTAGTGCATTGCAAGACCGTCAAGATGCGGTCGTTTATATCAAGCCCTACCTAGAGATATTTATGATAACAAGCCCGACTCCATGATCAATTGCCCGATCAATTAATCATCGAACGTACTTTCTAGACACCTCCACCATATAGCAATGAACGTTTTTAATTAGGAACTAGCACCGATACCTGCGGTTCAGGGGGCAACTACAAACTCGCCTTGGAGATGTGGAACATGAGACTTTGCAATAGAGTACCGAGATACGCAAACATCGGTCTGATCAACAATGTGACTAGAGAGTTTTACCAGAGAAATATCAAAATCGTCAGACTTCTACACACGATCTTCCTTCTCCGATCAAGCTGAATTAATATATGCGCCCTTCATCCCAAACAGACTATCTGCGACCGTCATGCATCATGCCTCTTGTAAGGTTTCAATTTCCTTTGTAGCTTTCATAACCCTCTCGATCATACTATCGAGGTCGGCTGTGGTTATGATGTTTTCCCTCTTTTCCCACCCAAGCTCGACCGGAAGCCGTTCTTTTTCTATACAGACGATATGTTAGACATCAACCAGTTTCTCAAGGGCGTTGGCATACCTACCAAATAGGTACTCGATCCAGGTTTTGTTAACAGTTCCCGAGATCTTGTCACCGAATACAAGGATATAAGTAGCTGTCTGTGCATAGCTGAACCGAAGACGGAACCCGGAGAGGTCAAAGGTAGGGTTGGTAGCCTTGGACCTGTTTACCCCTGCTAGACGGGCTTTCGCTCCTAAATGCAGGTCGATTAGGGGTTCGGTCCAATATGACTTCACTTGGTCGAAAAGGGTCTGGTTGAAGGAATGGTTGTCTCCGAAGTAGTAGTCTCCGCGGCTGAACACGTTAGGTGGTTTGCTTCCTTACTAGGTCGGGGAGTAGTTTTCACGTAGGATTCCCACGTACCTCAGACTGCCATCGTGCTCTATGATGTTGTGATGATCCAAATCGTCGAGAGAATAGGTAGTCGCATTAGGTTTGAGGTTCGTCTTCAATGCCGCTGCGAAGAGTGTTTCCGAAAGCTCTTTATCCACATGTAGAGCGTCCATTGCACGAATTGTATCTTGCTCGGTAATATCTTTTCCATTGTGTTGGAGAATGTCATGGTTGGCGAGTGCATTCAGCACCGGGCATGGACTGCGGACTGTATGTCGTTAACCTTCGCATTTATACATCGACGAAATCGAGGCTCACCATCGTTTGGCCCAGGTGGTGACCAGGGTATCTCCTGGGGTACTGCATTTGCGAGTGCAGCAGATAGCACCAGTAGAAACAGCCTCATCCTGTTGTTTTCTCTGATCCTTAGCTCAAGAATTCAGGTGGACTTTGGGCCCAAATATATGCCTAGGTGCAGAACTAAGGATGAGAGCAATTGACAATCCAAATCATTTCATTGGCCTATGCAAGAAGTAAGGGGTGTTCTACTCGTAGTCATCATGCATGCTCAAGCCTCACATGCCCTGAAATATGCAATAATCCTGCAAGAAACATGTCATTCCGACCTGTCACAAAAACAAAAGAAAAGCAAAATTCCAAAAGCAGAGACTGGTTAAGTGTCGGATTGGTCTTTGATAGCCAGCCTCCAATTCACATAATGTCAGAAACTACGAAGCACTGCAGCATGTACCTACTTGGAGAGCTCAAAATGAAGGAATCACCACGCAGTACACTAAATTCTGTTAATTGATATAGAATGGCTCCTCGATCTGCTTATATATAAGAAATAATTAATATTCTCTCAGTCCACGCACTGTTGCATTACCCTAGACCCAAAGTCCCATGGAAAGATTCCGCAGGCAAACAATTTGAAGCAGAAATTAAGTCGGATAGTCGGATTTCCCAAATAGGAAAAGACCGCTCCGCCGCGCTGCCGAAACAGCATCCGACTTGTTTCGCATCAGGATTGCTCTTGAAGTATATTCAGTGTGACTATAAAATATATTGACCTGGACTATCTCATCGCACGGTAGATATCCAATACCAAATTGAGTCGGCTGGAACGAGCACTGCTGAACACTGGTATATCTTCCTCGGAAAGTTAAAAATGGCTCCTGCAGCAGAACCAGCAATAGGGCAGAGTCACTCATATCGCAGTGGTGATCCACAGCTCGCCGTTGTGGACGAGGAAGCAGAGCAGCCTCCCAAGTTCGACGACCCATACCAGGAACGCCGATACTTGAAACACCGCCTTACTCTTGCCTTTCGAATCTTCGCGAAGTTTGACCTTTCAGAGGGAGTTGCCGGCCACATTACAGTTAGAGATCCGGTGGATCCAACTAGTTTCTGGGTCAATCCGTTTGGTGAGATCGAATCTATCTGCTAGCCACAACTATTCGACGAGGCAAATGCTGATTGATGGCCTCAGGAATGCACTTTTCTTTGATTGAAGATGCCGATCTTATCCGTGTCGACCACTCTGGCAATGTAGTTGAGGGAGGGAACAACAAACGACTCAATTACGGTAGGTCTATTTTACCTAACTTTGGTCTGTTTCATTTTCCGGTAGAAGAAAGCGGGAAGGCATATTTGTTCCTAATTTCTGACATTCCTAGCCGCTTACGCCATCCATGCGGAGACCCACAAAGCTCGACCCGACGTCTTATGTGCTGCACACTCACATAGCCTTTATGGAAGAGCTATGTGTACGACAGGAAAGACCCTGGACATGCTAACGCAAGATTTCTGTGTATTTTGGAACGACCATGTGCTGTACTCCAACTTCGCTGGTCTCGTCCTGGCTACAGCGGAGGGAAAGGCGATTGCTGCAGCCCTGGGGAATAAAAAGGCGGCATTGTTAGGCAATCATGGACTGATGACCGTGGGCCCGAGCATTGAGGCTACAGTTGCCTGGTTTGTGTTACTAGAAAAGTGCTGCCAAATCCAGCTTGCGGCAGATGCAAGCGCCGCAGGCACTGGCAGGTCGCTGGTGACAATCGGGGAAGATGAGGCACAGGCCACGTGGGAAGCAGTTGGTACTATAGGCAATGGCTATTTTCAAGGGTTGCCATTATTCCAGGTTGCTGAACGAGAGTTTGGGGAGAGGACTTTGCTGGGTAGGGGAATTGTGCCGTGGAACGCGGCCTGAGTAGTTAGCGTTTGAATTGCTTTATATTACAATAATACCTGAACTGCTATTTCCCACGATAGCCACTATCCTATGAGAATATAGCAGCTCATTCAAGATATGATTACAAAAATGTATTCCATAGCTACGATAGACGAGCTGATCAATGTAGACAAGCTCGTTGAGTGCGCAGGACTCAAGAACACCGCCCTTGACTGTTTGCCAATAATCTATCCAAATGTGAATCTGTGTCCATTGATTTCCATTTGCCATATTGGACATCTCGAGACACGCAGTGGTGGGATGCAAGCAGTTGGCCATTTTGCTAACGTTGTTGTTGCGGCGTTTTCCTAAATGGGATATCCGCCAGATGACCCCAATCTCGATCGACTTGTCTGGGTCATGGAAGGTCTGCGGCTTTGGGGAACATCTATTGGTTTCCCCACGGAGTTCAAAGGTTTCTCTTGAGTGTGGGGTTTTACGGCAATAATGACGGTCCTAAGCTCAGACCTTCTCTACATAATAGATGATGGATTTAAATATGGTGCAGCCTGTGCAACCTGTCCGCTACCAGATTACCACGCCACTCCGTTTGGCACTATCAGGATTACAAAATGTCTTCAGAATCAAAAAGCTGCGCCATACACATGGAGTCGACTTCTCCGGCTGATCTCAAAATTGGCGGAAAGGATGAGAATGATGGGCTTGGTACGCCGAGCACTATTATTGAGGATGAAACTAACAAGCGATTGCTACGAAAAATTGATATGCGTCTAATGCCTGTGGTATGACTCCTCACCTCTCTTTTTGCTATTTCCCTACGTATCCCTACTATCCCCAAAAAGCCCTTTTTTCGGAATAGCTTACCATGGGCGGAAGATGTGCTTTACGTATGCGCTTCAATATTACGACAAGGCACTCCTGAGCCAGGCGGCTATCTTCGGGCTTCGAGATGACTTGGACCTTCAAAGCGGCCTAAGATACTCGTGGGTGTCTTTGATCTTTTACTTCGGCTACATGGCCGGCTGCTACCCGGTAAGTGTTAAGACTTAGCGAAGCCTACCCAGCCAAACTTCTAATATATCATGCCTCCATCTGCTTCTAGATCACTTGGGTTTCCCAGAAGTTTACGGTGGCTCGAGTCTGCCCCATCATATGTATTCTGTGGTCCGCAATAGTTCTCTGCACCCCCGCCTGCTCCACATACACCGGTATCTTGATCAACCGTTTCATGCTGGGCGTGATCGAGAGCGGAGTATCACCCGCGTTCATGCTCTGCACAGGGACGTGGTATACACATCCTGAGCAGGTGTTACGCTCTTCATTGTGGTACTCATTCAGCGGAGGCTCGAATATCATATCACCGCTTATCAACTACGGCCTCGGCCACATAACCAGCGGCTCCTTGCATCCGTGGCAGTACATGTACCTCATTGCGGGTTTGGCAACTCTAGCATGGGGCATAGCACTGTTCTTCATGTTCCCAGGAAGCCCTCAAACAGCGAAGGGGTTCACAGCGGAGGAACGTATGTTGCTACTGGAGAGAGTTCGTGCGAACAACGCCGGCGCAGAAAGCCGAGCTTTCAAGGGGTACCAGTTTCGCGAGGCGCTTTGCTCGTATCATTTCTGGGGTATATTTCTCCTGTCGATCCTGTCTAGCATTGGTAGTGGAGCGGTCACTACATTCGGGTCCATTATCTTCAACGGCATGGGGTTCTCTACCTTTGAGTCTCTACTGCTTAACATTCCGATCGGTGCTTTAGCTTTCATCTGTGTCCTAGGATCAGGGTACATTGGCCGGAAGTACCCCAACGCACGCCTCCATACAGTTTCAGCATCATGTATTCCGGTTATCGTTGGAGGTTGCATGCTGTAAGTTCTTATCAACGTGAAATATCCTTAACCCCTCATTCGTTACTCTAGATTCCCCCTCCCCCCGCTGACATTATCACTGTGCTTAGTTGGAGGCTTCCATCTTCAATGACCGCTGCCAGAATTGTTGGTTTCTACCTTATTAACTTCTTTTCCGCGGCCTGGATACAGTGTATTGCCATGGGTACCTCTAATGTAGCAGGATACACCAAGAAGGCGACTATGGCTGCCGGGACCTTTATAGGATATTCCCTGGGCAATATTATTGGACCTTTGACTTTCGACGCGTAGGTCCTATAGCATCGACCCTGAAATTCCACACCCCAGCTAACGATATATGTTGCAGAAGATACGCACCGCGATATGACCCCGGGTTCGAGGCTCTGATCATATGTTTCGCCATCGCTTTGGTCTTATCCCAGGTTTTCCGCGCGCTCATGGCTCTGCAGAATCATAGGCGGGACCAAAGGTTTGGCCCTCCTACTGCGGAATGCGGATTGCAAGATCTCACAGACAAGGAGAACAAGTCATTCCGGTATCCTCTTTGAGTAGAATATGTGGTAATATTGGTGCCGCTAGTACCGGGGATTTAGACTGTCTGGTTTATTGAGTGTACCGATGGTGCAAGATATGAGACACGCATACGGAGTTGAAGTGTGTCAATATGGTAATCACACAGTGCAGATATAGGTAATTATCTAGAAGCAGGGGGTTAACTAGATGGCCTATGTGCTAGCACAAGTTTATCTATGACAAGGATGGAGTCAGTCCTGCGGCAATTTCAATGTAGTGCAGACTAGCTAAGCTTCGGTAGGATATACGGATTGAAGGTATTCTAAAGAACAATTCACTTTGTAGTAATCTTGTAATTAGACTTACAAGGCAGTGGAACCTGCTATAAGCATTATACCCTGCGACACTATATAACAATCCATGCCTCAACGGCATATGCGGGGAAGGTGGGTATTTGGCACGGAATTATGCCGCCCCACCTCGGTAATGACAATAATTATACTAAGTCTAAGTCCTCTTAGACACCTGTTCTTCCTCTGTTCATACCACGAGTTAAAATGATAATCAAGCTCAATGTCCAACAACGATACCTCCTTAACATTCCTTGAGGTAAACCAAACTCGGTCTCCAGGAGGAGAGAAGCTGAAGCGCGGGTACCAATCGTGCGACAACTGCCGGGAGAAAAAGAAGAAGTGCGAGCCATCTAGCAAGCAAGGATCTACGTGTCTGCGGTGTGAGCAAGAGCTGAAGGTGTGCTCTACGACATATCAGAGAAAGAGGCGAAAGCTCCAAACCTCAACATGCGGCATCCAGGATCTGGCTTCATGTCAGGGTAGAATCCTTCACTAATTCCACTCTATTCTCATCGCAATTATCTGACCGATTACCTAGAGACTCCTCCCCCTAGGAATGAGGATATGAGGCCATCCTCAAGATATGAAGTTCGTGAAACCCAAGATTTAGCTATGACTCCTACCCAGTCATTCGTGGGTAGGATGACGAGTAGAACGACAGACACACAATTTCTCCCCGTCCAGCCTCGTACAAAAAGTCGAATATTATCCACGCGTCTTCTCGATGCATGTGGAACATTGGATCTGCTGGCAGAGACTGAACAAGAAGAAAACCTACAAGGAGCTCCGCTGACTCCTTCTGAGCACCACTCACAAGTTGGTATGAGTGTGAATGTAACGGAGGAACAGCTCAACCCTGAACCCAACTACCAAAGTCCCCGAGAATGGAACGGGTTTATTCTTATCAAGCGAGGCATCTTGCAAGGAGCAGAAGTAGTGAATTACCTCGATTTTTATTTCCAGCATCTGTGGCCCCTGTTTCCCGTTGTCCCAGAGTATCTCGCGAATCGAGACCACTACATTTCTATGGCCCAAGCTGAGCCAGTGTTGGTAATAAGCCTCGTTGCGCTGGCTTCAAGATATCACCCGTTAGAGGGAGTGAACGGCGAACTCCGATCGGAAAGAGTTCATTGGCGTGTTTGGTCACTCGTACAACAGCTCTTTCAATCGGCCATGTGGGGTTCGACTTCGATGCGGAAGCCCGGTGCCATCGCAGCTCTGCTCATTTTTATAGAATGGCACTGCCGACCGATTAATTGCGAGGATTTCGATACCGGCCTGGACGTCTCAAGTCTTTTTGTATCTCAGAACCAATCATCAGGCGCTCAACACAGTGCTCGATGGACTGACGATATTGACCCTGCTTGCTCCTCCAAAAGTCAAACAAATGTTGAAGGTCTACCGAAGAGACTAAACCTAGTGGCACCAGCCTACAGAAGCCACATGATGTCCTGGTATGGCGAAACTCCGACATCACGAACTGCGTGAGTGGTCACTGACTTCTATAATAGGACTCTTCTTTCAACTGCTGTTTCCCTTGCTCAGGAGATAGGCTGCTTTAGTCAAGATGTGCTGACCAACACTATAACGGCAAGGCAGGAAGCTGTATCTGGCTCTGTACGATTAGAGTGGAATCGGACTCTATGTACCTTTATCCACCTGACCGATCAGAACCTGTCACTCCGTCTTAGACTCGAACCGCAGTTGCCAGGTACCAGGTGCGGCAATATGATTAATCAACTTCACCAGAGCTTCAGCATTGATAGCTTCTGGGAAAGTGCAATTGAACTGGCCACTCACACAGGTAAGGCACGGGAACTATTATACTGTTGGAGAAGTGGTGAACTCGGCGTCCAATCTCCTGTGCTGACCGCCTCGTGGGAGAGGTTCAGAAGAGGTCTTGATCGGTGGAACAAGCAACATGCTCCCATGAGCAACGGTACATTGATCCAGTCTTATTTTAAGTCGATGCGAAATGTTTGCTAATGGTAACCCAGAGCGCGATTTATCATTGCGCAGTGTATGTCTCCGTCTAGATTATTTTTACATCCGGCTTTGTGGTCTTAGTCCAGCAGCCCATGTCTTTCAGGGTTCATCTGGAGACTATCAGAGAGAGCCCTACATGTCAATGTTGTCAGAACTTTCTGATGATGCTGTTAAGGCGTCGGTTGATCTCCTGAATTGTGTGACCCACGATCTTCCTCTGTCAACATTGTTCAAGTACGTCGGTGTCAGGTATTGGCTGTACATCGTCTGTGCCTCTTTATTTCTTCTGAAGGTCCGTCCCATCCCTGCCAAATCACAAATACATCTGTATAATAATCACATTGGCATAGGCAACACTAAGAGTGGAGGAGCGACTGGAAGACGGTCACCCACATATCCTACTGATACGTCAAGCTGTGCGAGCAGTCAAAGAGAATGCTCCAGATGACATGCATATGTCCCAGCGTTATGCAACCCTACTGGATGTCTATGTTAACGCAGCTCTACGATCCCCACCATCCGCGGTTATATCGCAAGACATTTTCGGGTTGGAGTTCGACGACTCCAGCACCTCGAACTGTGACCATTTTCAAGGCTCTACACTCGATCAGGTGAGCAACATAATGTACGACTTCAGTTTCTCCAACTACCTGCCGGATATGGTGGGCCTGAACGACATATTTAGCTTTCTTCCCCCGGGGAGCGATTGATAACAAACGTTCAAAATAAGAACTTACATCAATCTCACAAGGAACAGTTGGCGGCGTTGATGATCCATCAAACAGATACGAGTAATGCATGACCTAGAGATGACTGCACTATCGGCAAAAATTACCCCTAAAACTGTAGATCCTGTCCCTCGCGCGCCGCAATAAGTTTACTACAAATGGCGTTAATCTTCATGTATCTATCAAAATTATCCACACCGATAGTAAATGGATTTGAGGTACGCTGGGCGCGATGTGCCAGGATATCAGCATGGAACAGAGCATGGTCGGCGACTTGGTGGTTGGAAAGAAGCGTGTCAACCCCTCCACCTCGGCAAATATCTGCAAATTTATACTGAGATCGGACCTTTTGCGCTCGAGATGCTGCGTCCTTGGGCGTACCCGTGCCTCCCGATAACCCAGCCATGTGCTGTTGGCCTTGATCAGAGACGGGAAATATCAATGATAAACAGCCAGGGGTATGTCCTGGCGTGAGAACGATATGGAAGTCCACTCCTCCCACTCTCAACTTATCCCCATCTGCTAATATCCTATCTTTCGTAGGGACTGGCGGAGTAGCATTTGTTCCCATTGCAGCCATGCTTTCCCAAGCCGCCTCGGAAGCATACACGGCGGGCTTGAACGTATCCTGTAGATATTTTGCGCCCCCATAATGATCGGCGTGCTCGTGGGTGATAATCACATACTTGATGTCACTTGCATTGAATCCGAAGGACTGCAATCCGGGCAATAGGATTGCCTTAATCTCATCCTCATTGTCTAGAGTATCGATGAGGACGATTCCCTCAGTGGTGTTGTAAGCCCAGGCGGAGACACCGCTGTGGCCAACAAAGAATAGACCTTCAAATGGTGAGAATGGTCGCACGTACCCAGAAGGGAAGGTAAAAAGAGGTGGATAAAGTTGCTGAGTAATGCATTGATCTTGAAAGTATTGGTGGATGGAGCCTTCCAAGGCTAGAGCTGCCGCTTCATTCAGATACCAGGTGACATTCTCAGTTTGTTCGTTGGGGAACGTGGGGGGTTTGAAAAATTGATTCAAGGGTGTCAGTTGGCCCAGGACTGGAGATGACCACAGGCTCATAAGAGTGATAAGGACAGTTAAGGTGTTCATTGTAGATGGCACTTGTTATTTCTCTTTAGTGCAAGACATCCCAACTCTGTAGTATCGATCCCAATGTTATATTTATAGTTTATTTCCCATACTGGATGAATATTACGAGAAAGTAGCCCTAGGAGAAAGGATTCTAATGACGCATGGCTCTTTGCCCTGTCGGATATTGACCATCTGGTTAGCTTGTCGGAGCGGATAGAATCTAGTGCGCCGCGCAACCTGTCAATACTATCTCCGCATGAATCACCCCCGCGGGTCCAAGACGGTGCGAGTGGGAGGGGAACCGCTGGGGGTAATTTGAAAAGTACATATTGTGATTTTATTATTGTCCTTGTCTCATGTAGGTTGGTCCGCTGGTCGGGTTTTTGGCAGGCTGACCCGCAGAGATTGAGTGCCAAGTGGTACAGCTTCCCCGCTGGGCACGACCCGCTACAATTTCCTATGGAGCTACGGAGTATCATGGCGCGAACCACACTTTAACTGGACCCCGTAGTGGTTACCATATTATGATCACTGATAGAGCCATCACTATGCTATAAGAAGCTAGTTACTCTATATTTTTGTAAAATTTTCTAGAGCCTGTTGGGGTTGGAGGAGTGATAATAAGAGCCTACCTCTCTAGTACTGACTCGTAGTAACTTCCAAAGCACAAGATTAACTGTAGATTGGTTCTTAGTGGCTGGTCTCCAATATATCGGAGTACAGAGTAGTCACAATTTTGTGACCTGTATGTTTAGTCAGCCTCCTTGGCAATGGAAAATATTTCAGAAAACGTCCATAGATACGCTACGTTATCGTCTACCACACATCCTTTCCTACCAAGTAGCGACTAGCAACCCATCTCGAGATCATTGACATATCAGCAGTGAGCCTCGCTGGTAAATATTATCGACAGCTCAGGTATGAGCACCTTATAGGATTGTCTGCTTCAGACTCTGCATTGGCATTGATCCATCTGAAGTTCCGATCTTGTGACATCCGATACCCTAAGGGGATGCCAAGACCTACCTCATCATTTTATATTACCGAGGTCTATGGGATCGACAAAGGTCATTGAGAAACAATATGCTTGTCGTCTCTCTTTGAACTTCTTTCTCGTCCTTTCCTTCTGTCAGTGTTGGATGATATCCGTTGACCTGCTGGTGCAATCTCCGACGAATTTTTTCAGGCCACGGTTACATCCACCTAACCAATCTCCGACTAGTTCGTGCGCTACGACGGCACTAGTGTCGTGAAACTGGTCGAGATGGCGCTAATATTATCGGCACAGGCGATACGAAAGAAGCCCGAGTTTGACCGAGTCCGCACGCCATCGTTTGGCGCACCTTGGAGAAGGACAACGCCGACCTCCTCCACTTCCCCGACCGGAACGTTCCCACAGCTTCCCACAAAACCATGACAGATTCACCCGCTCAACCAGCAACACCTGCGGTCCACCATCCCGCACGGGCCCCAGTTGCTTGTACGCAATGTAGACAAAAACGTCTAAAATGCAATTCCGGCTATCCGCAGTGCTCGCGGTGCTTGTCCGCGGGGTCCAACTGCACGTATATCCCCTCGCGCCGTGGGCAACGGCCGCCTAAAAACCGACCCGAGCTGGACTCGGTCTCGCAGCATATATCAACCTTTGCCATCCAGACCCCGCGATCCTCCTTTCTCCCCGCCACCCCGAATACGGCGCTGCCTCTCTCCCTCGCAGACACCCCGGCACCAGGCGAGGTATCGCAGCCGGTGAACCTCGCTCCCGGTCCGGCCTCGACGGCCTCCCCACTGACCAGCTTCACCACCACGGCCACCACGGCATCTCGCCTCCATTACAATGAACGTCTGGTCAACTATTACTTCAGCAACTTCCATCCCGCGCATCCCATCCTCCTCCCGCACTCCCTCTACGCCACGCAGGGTTACCCGGACTACCTCCAGGCGGTGGTGCAGTTCGTCGGCAGCCACTATGCGTCGAACCCGGTCGATTGGCAAACGCGGGAGGAAACCATCCAGGCAATCATGAGTAGCAATAGCCCGCAGACGCCCGAGATGGTCCAGGCCCGGTTGATCTGCGCCCTCGCGATCCACGCCCGATACGAGCTCATTGACTCCTTCACCATCTTCCAAGCGGCAACCGACCTGGCCATTCAACTGGGCATGGACTGCGCGAGCTTTGCCGTGCAGCATGGGAACCAGAACCACATGCTCGAGGAGAGTCTGCGGCGGACGTGGTGGGAGCTGGTCTTCAGCGAAGGCATTCTATCCGGTCTCTACCGACACCAGCGATTCACCCGTGCGACATATTTCTCCGACGTCCTCCTCCCCTGCGAGGAGACCGACTATGAGAACCTCACCATTCCCGACCCATCCAACCTCGTCTCGCTGACCCAATTCGACAAGAGAATCTTTAATCCCAACAGTGTCGAATTTTCCTCGTACTCATATCGCATCGAAGCCGTCCGCATCTTCGTCAACGTGCTTACCCTCACGGAGCCCGACTCCAACATGCGCCCGTCGCAAGTTCACGCCGTGGACCACGCCATCGCGGGGTGGATCCATCATCTCCCAGACGGGAAGGGAGATATCTTGCAACCGGACGGCAAAGGGGACGAGATGCTCTTCCAGGCGTACATGATCGTACAATACGCCAGCATGTTCTTGCATTTCCCGCGCAGCGATCTTATCTCGATGCTCCCGAATCCGGACATCGCGTGTGCACAGAACGAACCCCATGTGTCGCCAACGACTTCCCAACGTCTCCACGGGTTGAAAGCAATTGTTGCTTCCAAGTGGATTTTTAATCTGGCGGCATTGCGGCTCCCGGTGATCAAACACACGCCCTTGTTTATCTGTGCGCTGCTGAGTGCGGCGATCGTGCAGTTGTCGGCGTTATCCAAGAGGAGTCAAGACGAGAATATCGATATCACGGAGTGCTATGATTCCATGTACTTGGCGATCGGGGTGTTGAAGTCGTTCAGTAAACATTGGCCCTTAGGGCAATCTGCTTTGCAGGAACTGCAGAAGGTGGCCAGCGAGGTTTTAAAAGTGCAAACGACGACACAGGCCTTACCCGAAGACGATGGGTGGACTTGTAATATCGACTTTGAAGGGGTTCAAGGGTTATTGAATATTAATCGCGATATAGCGGGTTGAGGAAAGTTTGGTAGAGAAACTTTAGTGCCGGTGGGGATTGTGTTAGTTAGCGTGGATAAATATGCAGATTAGGTAAGACCACTAGACATAAAAAATTAGAATTAAAATCAAATCAAATCAAGCGATCCTCGAAGGTAATCGACGTAATCTTCAAGCCTCAGGAAATCATTCGGATCGTGCCATATTGCGCCAGTACTTTTGTTAAGACCGACAAACCAGGATGTCGGGGATGTTACCCGTTGAAGCGAGAAAACGGCGTCGCGTAATTTAGTAGTTTTAGCATTCTTTAGCAGCCTAGCCAGACCTTTTCTCCCTTTCCCATCCTCAACAATTTTCCAGGGTTAACGACGTGATAAACGCCACGTATGAGCAGAAAGCCAAGCTCTCCAAGCTCTCCAAGCACTTGAACGGGAGCATATAAAGGGAACGCGACCGAAGTAGCCGAGTATTTCGAGTCAATCAGGGGGAGGGGAAAAAAGTGGTATGAGAACGAGCTAAAAAATAAAATTAAAACAAAAAAAAGGCACATCATGGGTCGCTTTTCCGGCGCAGCGAGCAGACTGCATCGCACCCTGCAACTCAGCGGTGATACGGATCAGTGGAGGAATCGAGACCTGATCCCCTTGCCTCCAGGTACGATTTACCGTGGGAATGCGAAGAAGGGGGTCTATACAGCTTCTAACACCCGAGCGCAGATCGCACGACCTGGTCCAGCTGGGACTTCCTCTATCTATGGAGTACCGTCTTCTTCACCACATTCGGCTGGCAAATCACTTCCTCGCTTCTTGGTCTCGGTCTGAATGTCTGGCAATCCATTCTATGCAACATCATTACGAAATTCCTCCAGACGGCCGTGGTGTTCTGTGTCGGATGGCCCGGTGGAGTCTGGCACATTGGCTTCACGGTTAACTCCCGCTCCGTCTTTGGAATGTGGGGATCGTACGTGCCGGTCATTCTCCGTATTTTCCTGTGCATTATTTGGTATGGTGTCCAGGCCTTTACGGGTGGCCAGCTGGTGGCGATTATCCTGTCGACAATCTTTTCCGGCTATCATCATATGGAGAACACTCTGCCGGAATCGACGCACATGACCACAAAGCAGTTCGTAGGATATGTCATCTTCAATATCAGTGAGTTCGTCTTCCTTGTTTCTCCCCCGTAATAGGAGATCTGACATGGTACAGTCTCGCTCGGACTCCTATGGGTGCCCCCTGACAAGCTGAAGAAGCCCTTTAAGCTCATCGCTAGTATCAACTTGCTCGTCATTCTGGGACTGGCGATCGGCCTGATCGCAGGTGCCCGAGGTGGCTCCCTGGGTACCCTCCAGACATCCCAGCGAACAGACAATCTCGGATGGACCTTCATCCACGGTTTCGCCGTCGTGTTCTCGGGCAACGCGGTCGGAATGGCGAGTCACAGCGATTTCTCACGTTTCGCCCGACGACCGGGGGCTCAGGTCAAGGGACAGCTCTTCTCGTTCCTGATATCCGGCAACGTCGTTCCCATCCTGGGGATCTTCGGCACTGCAGCTGCCGCCAAGATGTATGGCGATGTAAACGAACTCGGCCTGTGGAATCCACCGAATATCCTGCAAATGTGGCTAGACAACCAGTACCATAATCCGGCCATGCGAGCCGCGGCATTCTTCGTCGCGTTCGGATTAACATCGAGTATCATGGCCATGAACTCCATCGAAAACGGTGTTTCGGGCGGCATGGACATCGCCGGACTGTACCCCCGGTACTTCAACATCCGTCGAGGGTCGTATCTGCTGGCTGCGATCTCCGTGGTGATCAACCCGTGGCAGATTATCGCCAACGGGGCCATTTTCACCAACACTTTGAACAGCTTCGGAGGTGAGCTTTCTCTCAGCCACAATAACAATACTTTGAGTAAATCCCACACTAACCGCCGCTCCAGTCATTCTGTTCCCCCTCATGGGCACCATGGTCGCCGATTACTACATCGTTCGCAAGCAAAAGCTGAAGCTGTCCGACCTCTACCGCGCTGATGCGAGTAGCATCTATTGGTTCGAGGGCGGCTTCAACTGGCGTGCCTTCACGGCCTGGATGATTGGATTTGCGCCCAGTATTCCTGGCCTCGCCGCATTAAACCCACACAACACAGGGATCCCGATTGGCTTGACATATACATTCTACCTGTGGCCCATCGCGGGATTCTTTGCGTCGTTCGTGCTTCACGCTGGCTTGTGCTATCTCAGTCCCCCCAAGGGTATTGGGGCCGTGGATGAGCAAGAATTTCATGACCCAATGTATAGCGAACGGTCAGACGAGATGCAGAGCCAGACCATCACGGCGATGGAGAAGGGTCAACATCGGTAGACTATCTGTGATAGTTCCATGGCGAACGATGTGAGCTGGACCCGGGGGGGGGGCTACCTTGGTTGTACCAACCTTATAATGGATGGACGTTGTCTCCATGTTTGTAAGAAAAAAAATTTCCATTCTATGTAGTAATAATAACTCTCTCGCTTAATACATGTCATAATCTGATTCGACACACGGCGTCCTTCCTTTTCGCAGAACATCCCCGACTGTCATGTGGTACGTATACAATGAGGCAACTAGACGGCAGTAACGGCACACAAGTCACAAAAGTCATGAAGGCAACGGTTAGAACTTAAGGCTAACTTCCCGACTTCACCGAGAAAGGGTCCACCCACGGCTTCGGTTGGGATTCTAGCGTTTCTAAGTGGACCCATAGAAGTGTTTCTTGACTCGAGACCAAGCAAATTGATCATGACATGTTTAGAAGATCTTAGATATTGTCAGACTAGGGCAAGTTTCCATTGGCGATTGTGGCCTAACGGTAGAAGGTCCCCACATATATAATCAGTCTACAGGGCGAACCCCTGTCATCAATTGAGATATCACTATCAACCACCACAACAGTCACCATGATTGCAGAAATTCACACACTTGCTGAGTACGAGGCAGAGCTGGCGAAGCCAGGCCTTGCGGTCTTGGACTTTTACTCTCCTCACTGTGGTCCTTGTCATGTAAGCACCTCCGACGCCCTGGTTGTTGACGATACTAATCGGTCCGGAAGGTAATTGCACCTCTATACAGCAAGATCGCCGAGGACCAGAGCAGCGTCCGCTTCTACAAGGTATATATCATCTTCATCGTGCGCCGTATGCCAGTTCTAATGCAGCATCTACAGGTCAACGGCCTCGACGAAGCTGGATCCGAAGTGCAGAAGAAAGCGGAAGTCACCTGGTGGCCAACCCTGGTTGTGTACAAAGATGGCAAAGAAATCTGGCGAGACCGAGTACCAAACCCTCCTTCTAGCAAGCCGTTGGAGTCGTTGGAGTACTATCTGAAGACGGTGGTTGCTTGAGTTTTTAATTGTGTTCATGTTCTCTATCAGTTTTTGAGCATTGTATTGAATTTAGTGCATTTTTTGTGATTGAATATTTATAGCAATGCATGCTAGATTAAATTTTTGACAGGGATTATTTCTGCATGTAATCCAAAGCTACTACTTCTACTTTTAGGGGCTTGTCGTGTTTGCTTTCCTTTGGGGGAACGAAGAATCAAATGATCGGGATTGTTGGTTGGGATTTTTAGTGCGACTGGCCCGATTGTCGGCGACATTTCCTTCCGGGGAAGTTGAGAATCGCGACAAGACCGAAGTTGCGCGATCAGTGCAGACAATCGGCGTCGTAAGCTGACTAACGGTATAATAGGTGGCAACACTGCGAGAGAGAGAAAGCGCTGCAAGTCGGTGCTTAGTGATCTGATTTACTCAATCGCTAGAGAGCTAAGCTACGGTATTGGGTAGTTCTCGTAGAATGGCGCAGTCAGTGCGGATCGGCGTGGACGTCGGTGGTAAGACAGCAGCCTCGTACAATGCTGTGTATATTCATGCAGGATCCGCTCACACCCGGTAGGAACAAACACCGACGCGGTGTTAATCGACTTGGGCCAGCGAGAAACAGCGTCTCGCGGCATTCTCTCATCTCACAAGGCACCAACGTCCCCCGACGTCACCACTGGCATCCAAGAAGCTATTAACACGGTCCTCCGGGACTCTCAAGTGGCTCCGGAAAATGTGGCCTCTGTCACTATTGGCACAACTGCGTTCCTGAACTCTGTGTTGGAACAAGACGCTCGCCGTCTAAGCAAGGTTGCGATTATCCGATTGTCGAAATCGTTTCTGCGCGATGTTAAGCCGTTTTCCGAGTGGCCAGCTGGACTGGCCAGTCTCATTAATGGATATGTCGGGTACATCGATGGTGGCCTCCATATTGATGGGTCTCAGGAGGCACCGGTTGTCGAATCGCAGGTCGTTCGGGAGTGTGAGAACATCAAGGCGCTGGGTTTAACGACTGTTGTCGTCGCTGGCGTTTACTCGCCCATTGATGAGGTGTTCCGACAGGAGGAGACGGTGCGGGATATTATCGCCCGCGAGATTCCGGGGGCGGATGTCGTGTGTTCGAAGCAGATCGCGAATATAGGTACGTTGGACAGTCTGCCGCATCGCAGCTCGGGCCAGCGAGGGCAATGCTAACGAGAACGGTATAGGGTTCCTGGAACGGGAAAATGCTGCTATCCTCAACGGCGCCATCTTGAGATATGCGCGCCAAACAATCCGACGCTTCCGTCGTGCGATGAAATCCCTTCATCTGCAGTGTCCGCTTTTTTTGACGCAGAATGACGGCACCATTATTGACGCGACTAGTGCAGCAAAAACACCCATCCGGACGTTCAATTCCGGAGCTACGAACTCCATGCGCGGTGCCGCATATCTTGCCGGAGAGGACCTGGCTAATAAGTCCACCATTGTCGTTGATATCGGTGGCACCACGACCGATGTTGGAGTTCTGCTTCCTTCGGGACTCCCACGTCAAGCGTCTGCTTATGTGAAAGCAGCGGGAATCAAGGTGAACTATTCCATGCCCCATTTGTATTCTGTCGGACTGGGTGGAGGATCCATTATCCGAGATGGACAGAGCGGCGCCAAGAAAGGGGCTGTCACTGTTGGTCCAGACTCCGTTGGGCATCGACTGCTCACGGAAGGTCTGGTGTTTGGTGGAAAGACTCTGACTGCAACTGATATTGCTGTTGCCGGTGGTCAGTGTGTAGTCGGTAATGCGGAATCAGTTAAGCAAGTGACTTCTGAGTTGGTTTCTGCGTCACAGACACGGATCAAACAGATCTTGGAACGGTCAATTGACCTCATGAAGACCTCGCCGGAGCCATTGCCGGTGCTCCTTGTCGGAGGAGGTGCTGTCCTGGCTCCTGCAGAGCTAGAGGGTGCATCCAAACTCATCAACCCGCCGTTCTTTGATGTGGCGAACGCGGTCGGTGCAGCATGCGCCAAGGTTGGTGGAACGGTCGATAAGATCACCAGCATCGCGAACCAGTCCATCAAGGACGCTGTTGAAGAGGCTAAGAAGGCTGCCATTGAACGAGCTATTCAAGCTGGGGCAGTGGAGGATAGCGTCTTTATTGCCGAGGTTGAATCCATGCCTATTCCGTATATTTCCAATCAGTTGAGAACTGTCGTCAAGGCAATCGGGAATTTAGATACCGAGAGGTCGATGAGCATGTTCGTTGACAATGATGATGGCCCCGTGGAGGAGGATACGATAGTTGAGAGCCCCAGGACCACCGAACACCTTGACGTGCCCGAGGTGATCCCAGTCGACCATCTTACCTACCGTCCTAATGTTGTCTTCAACGAGAAGGCTGGCCGGCACGAATGGCTTCTGACTGAAACCGATCTGAACTACATCGCAGACGGCGCGTATGTCCTCGGCTGCGGTGGCGGAGGAAGTCCAGACGCAGGCCGCATCCAATTACAGGAAATGCTCCGTCAAGGCTACAAAATCCGGTGCATTGATCATTCCGTCCTGCCGGACGAGGCGCTAGTCTACTGGGGAGGACGTATGGGATCACCGGCAACGACGGTGGAGCGACTCCAAGCCCACGAAACGGTCGATGCCATCGGCCAGCTCATGCATTACATGGGTCACAAATCCTTTGATGCCGTGATGGGCCTCGAAATCGGCGGGTCAAACGGTCTCGAAGCCTTTCAATGGGGCTCGGATCGATTCTACGACCGCCCGGTGATCGACGCGGACTTTATGGGTCGCGCAAATCCCATGATCTGGCAGACTACAATGGCCGTCTATCGGCCCGGGGAACTCACACCATGTGCAATTGACTCCGGCGATGGAAGGTCTGTCATCATGCCCCGAGCGGGTGATGATGAGATGGTCGACCGTGTGCTCCGTGCTGCTTTGACTGAAATGGGTTCCTTAGTTGGTCTATCAGCTCGCCCGACAAATGGTGCAGCTGTACGGGAATTCGCCATTTTGAATACCGTGTCACTATCATGGAGAATTGGGAGAGCCATTGCCCAAGCTGCTCAATATAGTACACTTCTCACAGTCCCCGAAGCCATCATTGCTGAAGCCGGAGGACCCCAGTCCGCCAAGGTCCTATTCCGAGGCAAGATCTCTGGAATCGAGCAAACAGTATACAAAGGCCATTCATATGGCGAGCTCATTATCACCGAAGTCCCCGTCGAGGATGATGACCAGGCCACAAACCAGAATTGCTCCCCTGCGGTTGCGCAAGGCGGGCACATCCGCATTCCGTTCAAGAATGAGAACATCTACGCTGAGCATCATGCCACCGACGGCTCCAAGAAGATCATCGCCAGCGTGCCGGACCTCATTTGCATCTTGGACAAGGAATCGGGCAAGCCGATCGGTGTGCCGGAGTATCGGTATGGCTACCAGGTGGTGGTGCTGGGATTAGCCTGCTCTCCACATTGGTCCAAGACGGAACGGGGCCTTGAGATTGGTGGACCGAAGGGCTATGGATATGATTTCGCATATGAGCCGTTGGGCGAGTATGTTGAGCCCAGGAGTGTGATTGATGAATTCAAGGAGGTTAATTAGGCCGCGCGAAACATGTCTTACTATAGAATTCCTTAATATTAGCGTCAATGAATACTTTGATTTTTTTGTTAGACAACTTCCCCACTTAAAAGACGATATGGACTTATGGAGTCATGGACTCGCGATAACTATCCGAGATCATTGAAGTGGAGAATCGGAGACGCTCATCCACAAGAGGTTTATCCGCTCGGATGGATGTTGATCCGACAATTCCTGTTTCATACATTCCAAACAATACAAACACTGAACATTCCAACGCGGACTGGACTTTGAGTCACATGATTCCTCTTCGAGGCCCCAGACCAAGGCAAACTTTTAGAGGAAAACACAATAAGTAAAAGTCGAACGAAAACAGGACATTAAGGATGAAATAAATCGTTAATAGGTCTTTGCAGTTTTTAATAAATATTTATAGCTGGGGTTAAGTCTCGTGGACATAGTATCGAACGTGTGCGATCTTGCCCTTGTGGATACTATATATATTTGGAGACTATACGCTTGATGAAGTGAGCAATAGCCTCAGCTCTCCTTGCTGCCTGGGTTTTCCATGTCTCATTGCTGGCTGTTCATCCAGTCTCTGCCTTGGCTGACAAGCAGTAGCAGTGGACACATTGCAGATCTTCTCGTATTCGACGCAAGACAGGCAGCAGTAACACATTACATGAACCGTCCATCCCCAACCTTAAGAATCCATTTCTTTTTAACTTGCACCTACACACTGATAGCCCGCACTGCTCGAATGGAGGCAGTATGAGTTGTAAGTTACTTGAAGTCTGGGTGTACTATATAGCATACTGATGAGCAATTCCCGAAGCTATTATTGAATGGGTTACGTGGCCCTTCAGGACCATCGAATTTAGAATTAACTTGTTCGGTGAGTCCGACTGTGGCAAGACTAGTTTGCTTTACCAGATGAAACTGGGAGAGTTGGTCAATACAATTCCAACGATCGGCTTCAATGTTGAGACAGTCGAGTACCCGAGAAAGTATCAATGGACCATCTGGGACATTTCCCGTGAGTGAGCCCATAGCATGCCGGTTCAAACTGTACTGGATTGTCATATCTCATTCAGTTTTCCATATCTAGTGGCAAACTAATGACAAGCTACAGTGTCTAATAGGATGTTGCATGAGAAATACATCCACCACTACCTTCAAGGGACAGACGTTGCTCTCTTTATCCACAACTGCGATCCACAACAGCTTGAGCCGATTTATGATTTTCACTACTTTCTGAACTTTGTTCATAAATATGATTGTAAACATCTGTGGATACTCCTAAACAAACAAGACACGCTGCCTCCGGAGAGCGCCCCACTGATTGTCGAAGGCCTACGGAAGAAGTATGAGAAGGAGATGGCCGGGTACGAGCATCAACTCTCATGGAGAATTTTGGATCATAAACTCAGTGCAAAAACGGGAGAAGGGGTGCAGGAAATCCTCCACCAGCTTCATTCATCTGCAAATCTTCTTTTGCGGACTCGACCAAAACCACAGCCTCAACCCCGGGCTGAGCCTGTGCGGGATTCCGAGCCAAAAGTTGTCCCAGACATACCAGAGGATACAATATCTAGTCCGAGTCAGAGCAAGCCTATTGACAATCAAACTTCACAGGGTTCTGTCAATCCCCAGGCCTTTTGGAACTCATTTGTTACTGGAGATATACCAGTGTGGGATCATCATACCCACCTCAAGGTCACCTATATTTTAGTTTTGGAGTACACGAAAAGAAAACGAAGTACGTTTGCTATGGCTGATACCATGTTTGCTCATTTAAGACGATTGCGAAACTGTCAACCAGAGAAATTTAAAAATAGGCCACATCGGTAAGCTCTCACTAGCACAGAATTTCTTCAAATGATCTCCTGCAAGGAGCCTGATATACTAAGAGCTTGTTGACAGCACAATGACGACTTTCTGGATCTTACAGCTACAGATCGCCATCAGGGACTACACGGTGAAAAAGAAACCTGGTGGTGATCCGTTGTGGACCGACTTCTACAATGTTCTGTTAAATACGCCATCTGTGATGGACCCTCGTCTTTGGAGTTCGTATTATAATACAAAGCATCTTTTTAGCCCACGGGCATGGGATTCATGGACCCCACCTGATCGTCGGCCATTGCCTGTCCTGGCATCTGCTCTTGACAAGCCTGCTAGTTTATCTCCAGCACAGGGAAGTCCCGCTAGACTGATACGATTCGCTTTTGTGTTCATCACGCAATGCGAAAATATCCGAGAATCATGCAAGGAAGATGCCATACGACAAGCAGTTGCCACACTCCAATCAACGACTATCCGCCTGCGGACTACAAACATGGCGATACCACCATATTCCGAAACACAAGCCCGGTTTTGGTTGGACATGGTCCGCGCATGTCTACGGTCATTAGACATACTCCATGAAGGTAGTAGAGAAATTCTACCATCTCAGTTGAGCTTTGACAGTTTCATATCCCTTTTTGGCCTCAAACCAACGTCCTGGAAAAGATACTATTCTCAGAGAGTATGGGACAGTCTGGCTGCCCGAGTTCAGTTTGTGCCTCCGGACAGGCGCACGTTACCAAGTGTTATCAACGTTTCGGCTGATCATCATGAGGTGGTGGCGATAGTCGGAAGGATGGGAAAGGAGGCATTAGACCCGGGTTTAGAGTCATTGGAGGATGTATTATTGACTACATACACGGAAAATGTGGAATCACATAGGGAGACTGAAGAAAGAGTCGATGTTGATGCGTTTCTTTTCTGTTGTGATGACACTATAAACCATGACAAGGGTGATTCTGATGATTAGAGGCGTGATATGTATTTAATCGCACAACACTATTGACTATGCCATGAGCATTCTGGCTTCAGATTGTGGGTCCAAGCATAGATAGTTGGCCAGAACAGAATGGGAGTCGGATTGGAAGCTAGAAAGACGCCCACAGTAATCCCACTTTTGGATGCTTGATAAATGTTCGCCGCTAAGTACTAGAATTCGAAAGGTACGAAAGTCTTGTCCCCTTTATAGTCTTTTTTTTTTTTTTTTTTTTCTTTCTTTCTCACAATTTCCGACGTACGTCTCCAGAATTTGAAACCATCTGACCAGGCAGAAGAGTTTAAGATCAAAATCAGGGAAGATCATCCTGTCGAGCAGATCTTGACTTTTTCGCTACGTTCCCGAACTACCAACAACAAGGCATCAGTAAACGATTGCTCTCCCATGTCTTTTTGAAGCTCCCAAAGAGGACTGCGGCATGGCTGTTGACGGTTATCGCCTCTACCAGCCCCTGTGATTTGAAAATGTTAGCAAAATAAGCATTGATCTTGTTATTACCTTCATAGCCTTGTTGGTATAAAACCATTTTTAGTACAGAGGTACTACTGAGAGCATTACATCCTTGATATATACATATTCCAGCGGTGGTTACCCTTAGTGTACAGCCAAGGCTAATAGAGCTTGAATTGAATGTCATATCATATATAAACCATTTAGATCCTTCCTCACAGTTCTAATGTCCCATTTAGAATGATGTTGCGGGAACTGGCACCAACAAAAATCGGATACTGTGCTCCAAGAATGAGTTTCCAGCTCTGAGAAGCTACATCCCAGACACTGATGTCACGGCGTCTGATATTGAATTCAACAGTCCTCCTTCCGCCAGGAGGGATTATGACCTTGTCAAAGCCCCGCAACTGTAGGAGTGGCTGGCCTTCAATAGGGATCTGAATATAGAGCTGTGCAATCTCCGCTGCCTCCATTTGACCAGTATTAGTTATGTCAGCCGTTGCAACCGCAATGGTGTCCCAGAGGTCAGCATTGCCGCCTGAAATCATAGGCCCAATCGGATACTCTGGGAGCTCAGATAAATCTACAGTGTATCTGACGTTGAGGTTCGAATATTTGAACGTTGTGTATGTCATACCGAACCCGAACTCGAACCGTGGAACGATGCCATTCCTATCGAATGCACGATAGTCGATAAAAACTCCCTCGGTAAAGTTATCCTGCGGGAAATACCGATCCCAGTCTGTATAGGTCACTGGATTGAGTAATGCTCCGTAGTCTGACTCATTATGGGGCACGGTATAAGGAAGTTTTCCACTTGGGCTCACGTCTCCGTATAGAATTTGGGTAATGGACTCTCCGGAGTCCTGACCAGGCAGATGTGCAAATATCACAGCCGTAACGTTCGGGTGATCTATCCATTGATCGACTAGCCGGACACCAGCATTGTGAATAATAACCACCGTATTGTTGCACTGTGAGGCAATGTCGAGGATAAGTCCGTCTGTGTAATCATCTCTTAGGGCCGGCCGATCAACCCCTTCGGACGAAGCTGCATTGACGAAAACAAGGCAGGCTTCTGCCTCCACATTAGTCACCTGTGAACCCTCGAGGTCCCAAAACAATTGTGTCTTGTCACGGCGTGCGCGGGCTTCCAAGGCCTGGAAGGGACTGCTGATATACGTGGGCGTAATTGCCGCCGAGCCACCACCGCCAATTAAAGTTCCTTTAGCAGCAATCGGAGCGAAAGGAGGGCAGTGACCTCCGGTTGGTCCAAAGCCGCATATAACACTCTTGTAATCGTGTGCCTCCAACCCCTGGGTCCAGCCATTTATCCCAGCCATTGCAAGATTAGTGTTTGCAACCTTCGCATCGTACCCGTAGATCGATAGTATACGTGGCTTGGACAATGGCAAGGCATTGCCGATGTTTTTGACCAAGACATGCCCCTGGATAGCTCCCTCGAGCAGGAGGGCCTCATCACCGGGGTCTCTGGCATCAATTACGGGATGCGGCTTTTTGTAGTCTGCGGTGATCCCAATACCAACAGGTGGAAGGTTTTGATTATCCTGACCAGAGAGATACCAAGCTGCCATAATCCTGGTAGCCATATTGTCGATCTGGGAGACTGGGACGGACCCGTTGCGCACTGCGTTTGTAAGGTTGGCACCCCAGTAGAGGTCCCCATCGGGCATGACCATGTCAAGGCCAGCCATGGCACTCGCAATACCGGTGTGCTGGGCAAACCAGTCACTCAATACGAACCCCTGAAAGTTGAGCTCGGTCTTCAAGAGCCCATTGAGGAGTTTGCTGTTATGGCACGAATAGCTGTTGTTGAGTCGCTGGTAGGCACACACTGTAAGTTGATAATAGTGTGGTTAGTAAACAATCGCCCATAGACTGCAAAGGCAGGGCATGAAAACTTACTGACACTTGCAACACCGGCGTGCACAGCGTCGGCAAACGGCCACATATAAAGTTCGTGCATAGTTCTGTCGTCCATGTTACTAGAGGAGGTCTCGACGGTTTTGTTTGTGACCGGGTCTGGACGAGGATTCCTGTGTAACTCTTGCTCATTGCCCACGAAGTGCTAAAAGGTGTTAATCAGGCTGACTTAAAACATGGCACAGAGTGACGCTGTCCCTTACCTTTGCACATGCAATAACTCCGTTGTCTTGCACACCTCGGACGGTTTCAGCTCCCAAGATACCACTGAGATATGGGTCTTTGCCGTAGCCTTCCCAATTGCGTCCTCCAAGCGAAATTCGCCCAAGAGGACCGAGAACTGGTGGACCGAGTGCCAATGTCACACCCTTTCGCCTGAACTCACCGCCGATTGCATGCGCCTGGTGATAAGCGAGGCTTTTGTTCCAGCTTGGGTCGATATTAGCAGATGATCATTTCTATCGTTTTCACAGTATATCATACCTTGATCCAATATGAATGCCAGATGGATAACCATTAACCAGCTCTGCTCCCTTGATCCCATTGGGACCATCCTGTAGACACATTCCGGGGAACCCAAGGCGATTGATCGCCGGAATATTGCCTCCACAGCCACTCGTGTCATCCGTAACCCCTGCAGTGATAGTGATCTTTTCTTCCAGAGACATACGTGCCACCAGATCTTGAGCTTTGGAAAGGGCGTAGCCCCATCCGCCAGCCCCAGTTATATTGGGAGTGGGATAAACGGGTGGGCTCTGTCCATAAAAGTAACTGTCATCCTGGAGAATGGTTGCATGGGCACCGGCCACACCAAGGAGCAACAAGCAGGCTTTGGATTGCACCATTTTGCGATCAGCTCCCAGTTGTTCTTGAAGTATAACAGAAGAGAAGCATGTTCATTTGAATTGAGACAGCGGCGTGTCTTTATACTTATGCTCGCACCCAAAACCTACACCATGACACCAGACTCCATCGCACGACACGCTCGCTAACATATTTAGTGCGGAGATTAACCGAAACATAGTTGCTCTATTAACTCAACGAGACTCCATTAGAGCCGGTAGGGAGGAGAAATAAGCCATTGGCGCGGAGATATATCGGCAGCTTGAGTGGTTGTCCTTGCAATTCGGAAGGGCAGAATACGAGGTCCCGCACGGAGAGAACGTTCTTTATTGGGTTTACAAATGCCAAGCGAGTGCACCGAAAAGTCCATTATTACATAGCAGGTGCTACCCCATATGTTTTTTGAATGCGAGAAAACCTTGATATCTGTTCACTTCTAGGACGTAGCGGGTTATATCCCTGAAATCTCATTATCAATACAGACGGCTCTTGAACACATCATTCCTTCTAGGAGGAACCTCGGGTCTCTGCTGTAATTTCAATTTGCTTAGATAATTGAACTTCATTATTTTGCAGTTTTTCTTTTTTTGCGGGGACACCCTGGGGTACTCCACGATTCCAGCGTATGTATTGGAAGAGCTAAGGGCACGAGCCCTTTGACGTATGTGGGGGAGATCCATTGCTCTCCACAATGTAAAATTTGGGGTACCAAGAAATGCAGCATAGAATGAGGGATTATAGTGGACAATAGTCGACAGGAATGTTATTGCTCGCCAGTGGTCATCAGGAACCTAGGGTTATTGTATGGTGTGTTGTGGTAATTCAGCATATTATAGTAAAACATGGTCCACATCCACCTTGGACACGAAACAAGTTAGCCGTGGCGCTCGTATGGATACCAATGAGAGGGTCCTTACGCCCCACAAATAGCAATGATTCGTCAATCGTACTCGCGCTAATGCAGGTTGCTTATGCTTATCCATTTTCTGGACCATGGCTAAGATTTGGATCAAGGTATCACCGCCCCGTCTGGAGTTTGACCCATCCCACTTGAACATAGACAATTTCTGCTACCTAGGTAGTCTGCAGTGCGGTTAACAAATTTTAAGCCATACTTCCGTCGTATGGATAGACAAATCAGGCCCTTACCCCAACTCGTACGAATGGGTTTACCCAAGTGTGGGGTTTACCTATCAGCGAACTGAGCTAGAACAACCGGGCTTTCTGTCGAAGGACCTGGAAGCGATGGGCTCCGGCTCCCTTGATCCAGTAACCTTCTTCATGCCGGTCTTCCACTACTGGAGAAGTGAAATGTCGTAACCGCCTGGAGTCAGGTATGCAATACATGCGGTTCGCTCATTACCTAATGTTAGCAATGGAGCCCTCCTGTAGGTGGACTAGATTTTGTTTAGTCCGTTGACGTGGTCGTTTTGGCGGGTGACCACGACCATGTTAATTATCAAATCGATTGTTGCTTTGGTTATAGACCTGTCTATAGACGACCTTGGACTGAAGGGTACTGTTCATAGTCCATATACATCGTGGGTGATTTTCTATGGTTTGGTCAGGGCTATTCCCTTTGGGGTGGGAATTGCGATACTGGTCTCATTTCCTGTTGATGCCTATCACGACATAGCCTGGTCGAGTTTTCTTCTCGCATTTTTAGTAGGGGCATGGATCGGTGGATGATATCTTCATATGTAGACTTGGCACCATGACAGAACCAATTGAATCCAAGTTTGTACCCGAAGGTGGAATGCGCGATGTTGAGCCATTTAATCGGGACATTGGTCCTCGAGTAGTCTACGGCTAAGCCTATGCCCGACAATCTAAGGCAGAAGTTGACATTATCTCTGATCTCAAGGGTACAATACATTAGTATGAGTGTATCTGGGCAAAACCCCCTTAGTAGTGTCTTCACTGCATGGGTACGGTAAGAAAATGCCACTCGGTACGTCCATAATCTTGATTGCTAGAGAGCGGTATGTAAATAGAAATGTATCTGTATCTCCTTTCCTCATGGATTGCACTGGCGCCCTATTATAAACATGACCGAGGCAAAGAAACTGAAACTCGTGTAGAGACAAGTATATATACACGAACTGTATACTAAGACAAGGATCTAGATCTATATCTAGGAGCATTTAGATGTTATAAATCTACGGTGAATTCATTGGCCACCTAGACTTAGGGACTAGGGACATAGCTGTGGCGTGGGGAAACGAGAGAATTTGCGTATCATGGTGAAGCCTGGTTTCGTTGTTCTCTGTAATCCTCTACCTAAGCTTGACTCTGTCCAGATAGCTCCTGTCGACATAGAAAATGTTCGGATACCTAACGCATTTTTATAGGGTACTTTTGTAGTGCTATCTCCCGTTGACAGCTCCTTAGGAGTCATCCAGCTACTTGGGTCGGCAAGGTCCGGAGTCACATTTTGATACGCAAATGGCTATCTGGTCCACGGGCAAATGGAGTATCCTGGAAAGTCTTAGCTTGTTATTAATAGATTCCCCAGCTTGTTGATTTTGGTCATTGAAGAAAAGAATATGATGGAGCTGATATTTTTGCTACTTTTGTGTTACTTTCTAGGAATAGTTTTATATACGGCGTTAAGCCTACTTAAGCCATTCTGTATGTATAAGGCCTAATTAGGAAGTAGTTTTAAGATAGCCCTATAACCTACGGGGGACCCACAGAATTTTCGGCCAACAATTCAATATGCTTATGGGTCCACCATTATCTTACTCCTCTCCTGACAGCTTGAAAGACAGACGAACATCTCAAGGTTGGGTTGGGCACACGGTTCGAGCGAGTCTTGTGCAGGGGTTCGTGGTGTTTCCGGTCGGAGCCCTCCAACGTCGGCGGTCATACCCTTGCGTAGGCAGCCTCGGGGGGTATGTAGAGTAAGTAGCAGACAAAAGGCGTAGGCTTGCGCCATCTTCTCAACTGATCGGTTGGTTTTTGGCAGGCTGTTCGCCTTAAGGCTAATGCAAGGTGTCTGATACAACCGCACGCCAGCGTCCCCAGTTTCTTTGTCGCTTTCAGCGATCATCTTTTGGCTTGTTCTACTTTACAAAGGAAGGAATCCAATTTGCAACGATCCCTGCATTACAGTACGATGTGGAATATGGGCCGATATCTCCACCCCTGTGCAAGTTATGGTTGATACCTATGATATCTGATGAGGACTCTATAATCTAACCGTCTCATATCGTTCGTACTTAACTTCTAAAAGCTAATCCATTCTTGTATAATCCGGCTCTACTCACAATGCCCTTACTCATCCACAGCGAGTCATGGCTTTGAGGAGCAGAGGAATTCAGGGGTCAGAGACTGTTTCCCCACACCATCGACTATCATGCCTATGAAAATCCGTGTCGCGTATTAAATTCCATGCCAAGAACGCAAAATATTTCGGATGGGTTTCGAGATGTCGACATGAAGGCGATGGCTACCGCGGTCGACTTCATGGCCTGGTGGTTAGATGGTCATTCCAAAGATGTCCCTAAAGAAAAGAAAGTTCTGGGTATGTCGGAATACCAGATACCCGATATCCTGTTCTTTTGTTTGCAGCAAGCAAAGCTGGATGGACGGTACGAATCCGAATTTTGTTTCTGAGGCTTCACATGCAGCTAATTCCTAATGCCTAAGACATTCTGGGTTTCACCACAGAACCCGCCTGATCAGGATTTGTACTTGCTACGTGAGGCGAGAGTGAATCTTGTTCTCTACATGGATTCAATGGAGCCGGTTGTCAAAGGCATCCAGCAGCTTGACTCCATATTTCAGATATTTTATATGCCGATACCATCGCTGGATGAACTACTGAATGGTCAATCCCCTCAATACCCTTTTGATGTTTTGTTTACGGATGTCAAAGACGAAAGATGTCTTATTATGCACACGTCTGGGCTATAGGCATAGTCAGCCCCACTTAAAGCCTGCTATATAGTCTCTGACCAGGGGTGTCAATCTAGGCCTCCCAAAGATTGTGTACTATACACATACTGCACTTGCCTGTATTGATTCTGACCGGAATGTCCCTGCCCCGGAAGGATGTCGGCCACAGAATGCTAAACAGTTTGATTTTTCCCACCCGGGCGATTCTACTGTTGCTTCCCGCCATTTCATGTAGGAATCTTCCCTTGAGATTACTTTGCTTTCTATGATTATATAACTAACGAAGAGAAGCTGGCTGATACAATGGCATTCATGGTCATCCCCACTTTCTCCACGACCGCTACTGCCGTTTGGGGTCCCTCTATTATGCCACCCAGCGGTCAGCTAGTGAGCTCCATTATGAATCAGACGACAGTTAGAGCCCTTTATATCCCGTCATCTACTATTGAGCAGTGTTGGAAATGCGACCCAGATGCGCGCAAGAAGGCAGAGGAATTCGACTGTGTGCTCTTTGGCGGCGGACCTCTAGCTCCAACTGTCGGGCAGAAACTCAGCGAATTGACTGACCTTTGTCAAATGTACGGCTCTATTGAGAGCGGCCAGATCCCGACGCTTGTTCCCCAGCCCGGAGAATGGCAGTACCTTGAGTCCAATCCTGCCGAAGAATGTGATATGCAGGAGGTAGAGAAGGACTCCGGTCTTTATGAGCTGGTGCTGCATCAGGATGATAAATTCCGTGGGCGGCGCACTCTTTGACATACATTCCCGGATGTGAAGGAATAGCGCACCAAGGATCTATTCACTCCTCAGCCTACAAAGCCAGGCCTGTGGCAGTTCCACTCTCGCACTGTTGATCTCATCGCGCTAGGGACTAGTGCTAAAGTGTTTCCTGTTCCCATGGAGACGGCTCTACAAGGAAATCCTAATATCGCTTGCGCGCTAGTCGTTGGAAATGCCCGCCCAGTGATTGTCCTTATAATCAAGCCAGCACAGTCCATGGGCGATGTGAGCAAAGAGGAATTTATTGGCAAGATATGGCCCTCGGTTGTAGAAGCCAACGTCGCTGCACCCACCCAAGGCAATATCTCGCGATCTGGTGTCCTCCTCACAGATCCTGCTGTTGGTTTTACAAGAACCTCAAAAGGCACCATTGCACACAAGAAGTCCGAGGCTCTTTACACGGCAGCTATTGATGCGGTGTTCCGGGACGGCATTATCAGCGATAACAAATCGACTAGTGCCTTTTGAAACCAGTAAACAAAGAGATTAATTCAATGAGTTATTCACGCGATCTGCTTGAACACTGAGAAGCTCCTCGAAGATGGCCATGATCTCCTTCTTTGCTGCGCAATCTGTGGAATCGCTCAGTGTGGTGGATCTAGTTAGCCTGAGCTCCAAGGCTCTTTTTTAGATCATAGATCCTTTTTCTCTCTGGCCACTACGCTTTCTCTGTCTTCTCTGGTTCCAATTTCTTTACGCACTTGGTTTTCCTTCCACACTATCTTGAATTAACCTTTCAAGTTTCTTCTCGATTTCATTCCCTGTCTGTAGGTTTTCATAAGTTTGTATGCTAACCCTGGAGGCTCGCTCGTAAGATAGTTGCGGATCGACCGATCACAGTTCAATGAGAAAATTGTCAATACCTCTAGTCTCCAGTATGCTGAGGCCATCAGGAAAGTGCAATATAATAATATGGGTGTTTCTGAGCAATACCCTGTTATCCATATTTTGACAGGATGAGCATGGTAAGGATATGCCACTGTATACGAACGCACCTGGTCGAACTGTGCACGACTTATGTCATGGAGCCAACGCTATTCACACTAGATCTCATTATATCGGTTATGCCTAACCAAACATAAATGCATAGAGACTTGTATTCACTTTTCCAATCTCTTAACTTAGATATTACAAAACCTTATTACTACATTTTGTGATGTGATATTTTACATTTCAGCCATTGCAGTCACCTCAGCGGATGACTCTGCTTTACCCATCGCCAGCCGTTCAGCCGCCTCCCGACTATAGGTAGGGCCCTTATAAGTCCTCATACCTTGGAACAACCACCAAATGCCGACAAGGGTCATAAGACCGACGGTAATAACACTTGTGTAGTTCATATTCTGAACAGTCACGGGCAAGGTAAAGGGGAAGCAGAAGAACACCACTGTGACAGCGATATAGAGTACCGCGAGGATATTAACCACATATCCAATGTTGTGGGGCATTGCGAAGGGTCCCAGGACCACACTTCGTCGCCGGGATAGAATATGCGGAATAATAGCACCAGCGTAAGAGAGCGTGCTCAAAACAATAAAGGACGAGATCAAGGCTTGGAAGGCGGTGGTGCTGCCAACGTAAACACAGCCCAGGCAGGAAACCATCACTGCCATGGCCACTGTGGCATTGACTGGACAATCCAACGTGGGGTGCACCTGGCCAAAGAACGAGGGAAAGGGGGTGGCATTATCGCGCGCAAGTGACCACCACATCCGACCACCGGTTGTCAGGGTTCCCACCAGGGTGGGAAATGTGGCTAGGAAAAGCAGGGCGATAAGGCCTACTGCCCCCGCCGTAGAACCCGTTGCCTGTAGGTAGATCTCGGCAACGGGAAAGTAATTGACGTTGGTGTTGAAAACGGCGTCAATATCATTGATACCGTAGAAGAGCGCAATGAGATACACGAATGCGGTGAGAAATGCTGTCAGAAGTTGCAGCATAATGCCCTGTGGGACCTTTCTCTCGGGCTGGGGAACTGGGTGTCAGGTGTTGTTAGTATAACCTGGGGACAGAGAAGCAGACGATAGCGGAATGGAGAAGCCCGGACATGGATATACGTACCCTCTTCGGATAAGTGGCTGATACAGTCCGGAGTACCGACCGCAAAGGCAGCATTCAAGAGTCCAGAGAGAAAACAGATGCCGTCGGACCAGCCGCCAGTCTCATTATAGTAGGTTCTCCAGACTTGAGCATTGCTGGCGCGTCGGCCACGGGGCATCACGGCCAACACGACAATGGTTATAAACAAACCACCCATGGACAGCACCAGTGAAATCCGGTTGATGAGAGGAAGGTACCGGTTTCCCAAGCATACAATAGCACAGCACATCCATAGTACTATCAAGAAGACAATGAAAGGTTGCCAGCTATGCCACTCTACACCCGGATGCCGTAGGAGATACATGGCAACTGCCTCATTGCCAAGTACCGAGCTCATCGAAGCTGCCGACAGCAACCAGGCGCAGGCATTGAGGTAGCCCGTGAAAAAGCCTGCAGCGCGACCATACTTACCTGCGACAACGGACGACCAATGATAGACACCACCCGCCGAGGGGATTGCCGAGGCTAACTCAGAGAGAGAGGCGGAAATGCATGCATAGAAGACAGTGACCAGGATGAGTCCATATAAGACGGCCATAGGGCCACCATTGTACAGTGCAGTCACGATAGTTCCTCCAGTAGCCGCCCAGGAACTGTTATCAATTTGCCATCTTGGTTAGGATCGTCGACTTCCGAAACATAAGCAGGGGAAGGCAGAGAACGCAGCCCACACACATACTTTGCAATAATAATTCCCAGACTGGTCAAACTAAATAATCCGAACCCACGAACCAGTTCTTGCTTATGACCCAAAGCCGCTTCAAGGCGTGCTTCATCAACTTGGATGTTTCCCTTACTAGCGCGACTAGCGCTGCCTGGAGCCTGCTCCATTTTTAGATCACCAAAAATCCAGGTAATAAAAACGACAACAGGTAAGCAAGGAATAAATCAAAAGGAAAAAAATATAAAAAGCAAAAATGGGAAAGCTCTGCCAGGAATTTGAAATAGTAAGCAAAAAGATAGGGAAAGAATCGAAAAATATTGCGTAAGTTTCCGATAGTTGCAGCGGTGGGACAAGATGCATGGATATAAAATTGGCGCAGACACGCTAAGACACACGTTGCGTTTCCCTTGACCCCCACCCACACTAAGCATCGTGCGCAAGTCTCGTTGTCGCTGTTGATTCGATCGCATGAAGGCTTAGCGTCTTGACCTGCTCTCTTCTGCATACCATGCAAGGATATGAATCCTGAAATTATGCCCGAACTACAGACCGGTACTGGGATACGGCATTAGTATCTCAGAATGTGAAGTGTCCTGCATGTTGGGAACATTAATTCCGCGGGTTGATTGGTGTACCGAATCGTCGGGGCCTAACAGACTATTACTATTACTATGGACGAAATAATAAGCTTATAGACCCAGCGAGCGCCGCTGACCCGCTGCCGTTTATGTAAATATTTGACCTCACCTATGCCCGGTTGCTGCCGGCCCCTCAACACATACCTAGGGATCGCATCCGATCTACTATGGGAGATGTTTCACCCACTCCACGCCAGCTCTTGGTAGAAGCAGTTGTCTTCTGGAGTATAGGTGTGGTGATTTGGATTGGGAGAATGTAGGTTGATCGGTGTTGGCCTCCTTTCTCACGTATTCAGGAGCTGAGAAGGACAACCAGTGTCGCTCGAAGTATATCCAATGGAGGCATCCGGAATCTTCAAGGTGCGCACTGGACCTGCAAACCCACAGGATGGCGCGAATGTTCAGGCCATTGAGTGCTCTTCATACAAAATACTAACAACATGGTAGTGGATGACTACATTATGAGTGTCACTTTTGTATGTGTGTCATTTTTTCTCTACCAGTTTTACGGCCTGGATATACAGCGGGGAATTCACGCGACTGACTGACTCGTCAGGGTATCTACACGACACTTCTGGTTCTCATCAATATATCATCCCATTACAACACCAACCTTTTCCCCTCCGAACAACTCCCGCTGATATTGGCCGACCCCAAGGACGTGGCGAATCGGGTATATGGCAGCAAAATCGTGATTGGCCTAGAACAATGCATGCTCCTATCGACATGGGGTGTCAAGACATGTCTCGTTGCCATGTATTGGAAGTTGACGAAGATGTTGAGCTGGCATCTCTTCGTTAAAATCCTGGCCGGCTATGTCGTCCTGGGGTTCGTTGTCATTGAGATTACCTACTTTGCCGTGTATTGTCGACCTTTCTCGGAATACTGGGCTGTACCACCCCAGAACCCACAGTGCGCAACCTACCAACATTATTCCATCACACAGGCGGTTTTCAACCTCTCGTCGGATGCGTGCATGTTGCTAATCCCGATTCCCCTACTGAAAGGGACGCAGATGCCGCTGCGCAAGAAGATTCTCCTCGTCAGCGTCCTCGGTCTAGGAGTGTTTGTGATGATCGCCGCCATCCTAAACAAATATTTTAATTTCCACTCGCCGCTCACAACTATCTATCAGCTCTGGTATATTCGCGAGGCTAGCACCGCCATCTATGTGGCCAACCTCATGTGCTGGTGGCCCTTACTACGCAAGGTTTTCGGCAAGGCCTTGACACAGTATCATGGCACATACACCACGAAGAACGGAAATCGATCACATCCCACCGGTGTTCTTTCGAGGGAAACTGGCTCCACAAAGCCTTCTGCTGATCGGCAATACTTGGCACCATCGAGCTCTAAACGATGGTGGCAGTCCAAGGGCCTTGGCGAGTCCTCCTCTCAGATGCTTACGACATCAACCAGCCAAGAAGCGATCAACCTACCTGTTCTTGACCCTCAACCGGAAGGGCAATTGGAGATATGGCGTAAAGTGGACTATAATATAGAAGAAAGCTATGAGGCAAAGAAATAAACATCACCTTTCTCAGTTCTCCACACAACTTTTCTGAAAATATGGTATGATAGCTCTATACCTCTCAACCTGATAGTTAGGAAGCAGTAAACCTGTACGGAGTACTCCGTCCATAGGAGAAAAAAAAATAAAAATAAAAATCAAGTAGTAGAATGATGATCTTAATCAACCGAAATGAGTCTTGCACCCGACATGGGCCGAGCCACTTAACCGTGGGGCATGGTTTATCCGGCTGGCCAGTTAATGCCTCTCATAGAGTCATAGCTCTCTCCATATCTTGGGAAAAAAGATTTTTTAATTATCTATTCCTCGGGTGGGCCCGGCCGCCAGCTTAGCCACGAAATTGAATATAGTTCATGGTCTGGATGGCCAAAGCCCGCCGGATCTCTTTCCTTTTCACCTTTTCATACACCCAGTGGAGTCGATCGTTGAGCACTTTGCGCTTAAAGGGTTTAACGCAGTGACAGGGGGAGTTGGGCCGCGCGGGTTGGCCCGATCCCCATGGCCGCATGTTAGGGTTACTTACCATTTTACCCTGATATCGTAAGCTTAAGTCAATTGATTTATTTGTTTGATCCAATCCACATAGCTAGCGTGCATCAACTAGACCGACCATGGTGTTTTTTTGCAACACATTCATTTTGAATCCAGTCCTGCTCACGTCCCTCTGTGTTAACTTCTCGAAGTCATGGTCGATCGTGATAACTTTCCCGAACCGACTAAGAGCTAAACTTTTCTGGTGCGATCGACACAGCAATAATAACGCAATGTTATCATGCCATGTACTTAGGCTTTGGCGCTTATGTCCCCTAATGGGGGCTAAGCTGCTAGTGCTCCGATTTCGGCAACTCAGGGTACGCTTTGGATTTGTTTCTCCTGCCACTTCACGCGTGGCGCATTGCAACGAATATTTATGCAATCGACGATATCTCACCATAGCTTCGTGATTTGATTATGGGTAGCTCTACGCCATATCGAGTGCTCATGGCGCGAGACCTGAATTACCTTGTGAGCGTCTGCGCTGATCCCCCACGGCACCCGGCATGGGGTGGCATCCGACCCTTCCCAATCTTTGTACGCGGATTGGATATGTGCCTGACGCACAATACGCATAAGCCTCTGATGGTTGATATTCGTTAAGTGCAATGACGAACCCATGGCCAGACGCTAGTACTGATCTGGTAGCATTGTTTTTCGGGCTCCAGGCTCTTTCTGGTCGCTGCGACCGTGGGCATCATTTGAGATCTTGGGACTCTCCCTCATCCTTATGCTCCTGCTCACTACAATGTAATATCCACAGAGGTAAATACTATCCTAACCATTACAGCCATTTTAGATGTCACTGGGATAATGATCGACGTGATCGAAATTGTCTTTCGCCGGCGAGCTAGAATGCATATCACACAGATGTTTGCACCGCGTAGCTAAGAAAATAAACAAAAGCAATCGCGCCCAAAATATCCAGGACATATTCAGTTGGCGTACTATCTGCTTCAAAACTAAACCCGAAATATCCCATGCGCTGCTAGAAACCACGAAGACTTCCCTGCCCTATTCCAAAGTGGCGTATGCTGCCACCTACCCGGAACCATAGACCAGACACAATCATAAGAGGACGAGGAAGACAACATCAAGTAATCAACCATAGCTCCCAGACAAAACACAGATCCCTGGAGCTCTATTAACTGAAGCCGAATCAAATAAGACCGGTTGCGGTAACATCGAAGTCCGCTGACTGAGCCAACGGGCGCCCCTTGGCTTCATTCTCATCGGCGTTGTGCCGGACGAAGTTGAATTGATATCCAGTGCTATGGAAATTAGTTGACTGATCGTAAAATACGAGTCATAGAACGTGTACATACTTCGGCGGAACATCGCTCACACCTTGGACGCTGTACGAAAGCGCATCCCGGTTGATACCTTGTTGGATGCGCCTTGCGTACGGGGGAAAGTGTCGCATATTGACAAGCCAAAGATCAAACAATGGAGCATCGCTCCTAGATCAGATCCAACATGTCAGTGCACTGTGATTGTGATCCATGATTGAGAATAAGCAGTCTATAACTTACTCAACAGCGGCCCATGTAATCGTGGTTCCCGCCTGGAGGTAGATTCGATCACCACCCATTGGGGTATTGATCATATAGGCTGTGGCGGAAGATGCAAGAGCAGCGAGGCAAGCAAGGGTGAACCGCATTTTGATGGGGATTGGATGAGGTCGGATGGGCTTTTCACGAACAAGGGTAAAATTGGTAGAAAGTTGGCTAGGTGTGATAGTGACTAGAGAGCGATGAGGCAGGAGATGGAGCAAGGTAGGATGGCATTATATAGTCATCATCGGGACATGAGTATACTTGCTCGCACCTCATCTTTCGTAGTAACTCGCTTTGACTTCTGGATCATCGCCGAATGTGTACATCAATCAACCGGTAGCCGAGAGAAGAATGTCAATGCAAATTGTGTACTTACTGTACATATTCATGTAGCGCATCAAAAGGCACTCGCCATTATCTCGTCGAATTGTAAATTGTAGCGACCGCTCCCATATGCGACTCGAACAATTGGTTGCTGAAGGCTTCTCCCACATTACGTTTTCGCCGATCGACGAGATGAGTTGAGAGAGAGCTCCTTTTGGGATGTACAGAGTACGATACATGTTCAGAAGTGTCGCTCACCCTCTTTGCAGAAGTAGTTGCATTCCAATTGAAATATTGACCAAATATCATGTCTCGCCCGTCTCAGTTGCCAGGGATGCATAGAGTTGGAAATCAAAGTTCTTCACATTCTATCCCACTACACGACTCGTTCTAAATCTCCCGTTGCAAAGGGGACTTATATAGATAGAAGTATGGATTCTTGTGTCACCGATCTTCCCGGCCTCCGGACGTTTGTCGTTTGAGCTTTTTATACCCGCCCATGTCTGCCTTGGGTCAAACCCCATAACGTAAAGCTTGCCTGTTGCTTTTCAACTCAACAGCGAGCGGCGTAGAGTTGAATGAGAGTTTATGCGAAACATGAACCATGTAGAAATCGTGTACGCCACGGGAAGGGCTTATCGGACCCCGAGCCACTATAAAAGATAATTATTCTGGGGATTCCGCTTGATGCGATTTATTGCTCTGAAATCTCAATTGACTTTTGTCGCAGCTATAGGTCATGGCATAGTCAATGTATAAATAGAATTTAGTCATAGTGCAGTAGCCTCGGACACCCAGGAACTATGGAACGAGACAATCTCGAGAGGCGTGGCACGGAAACGACTGCGCTCAGGATGCACAGACTAGGGCTCGTGCATGACAACCATTTCTTTAAAGCGGCAATGGTATGTGGGTGAATATGCTGATACCTCGATGTGTCTCGAGTTCCTTGATGATTAAGAGGAGTATTTCATGTGGCAATTCATATATTAACGCCAATATTACGCTGCTTGTGATATAGAGGCTTGCCGACTTGTACCAATCCAAATCGGATGAACCATTAGTTCGGTGGCCCTTTCACATCCGAACAGAATTACTTTTCCTTCGTCAATGATAGTCACCTTTATCCGGAATCCACGTTTTCCCCGCCAGACAACGAAACTACGGGCTATGGCATAGTACTAGGCCTTGCAGATACTTCGGAGCTATTCGCAAATCGAGTTTCATTCCCAGAAGTTGGTAGCAGAAATTTCCTTTCCTGGTTGTACCACTAAGGTCAGCCGGTCGTAATCCATCTTGCCTATTCAAGATTAGTTCTGACAGAAACGGCCTGCATTTTAGCAGAGCAATGTACCGATTCACACTCAGGTCAGGGTGATCATCCTTCAAGGCTATAGAACACATATACAAGTTCACATCTTTTGAGTCGGACGCAATAACTTCAAATATCTAAGTCTCAATCAAGTTCGATTACATGACCTGCTCGTTTCCCGAATACCTCAATCAATGTCTGGCAACGCTTGGCGTTCCATCTCTGTTCTAGGGCTCATCCTCGCCGCTTTATGATCACTGAGTAGAGATGAGCACGTCCTTGCTCGGGGCGGCTTGACCCGGCCATCTGAAGACTAATAAAAGGTAGAATAGAATAGCTTTAGATGGAAGGTAGATTCTTATTTCCATTTTAATGGGCAGAGAGTTTCATAGGAATCAATATTATTGGTGTTTTAACACCACATAAGAAGCAGCTTGTATCAAACAAAATACTTGCTACAATTTACGTGTGTCTCTATACACGGCGGAGTAGATTTGCGTACTCTGTTACTCTGGAAAACTGGGACCCTAGGGATCTGCTATACTAATCATCGATGCATTACCTATCTGACCTCGTCTGTCCTCAAAGTTGTCCAATGCGATACTAGAGTCGCAAACTTGGTCGGGAGAGCCATGCCGCTATCCAATGCGGAGAAATCTTCGAATGACCAATCGTCCAGGTCCGAAGGCGGGGGTGTTTTGTCAAACTCATTGTCAGACCAGGCGTCTAGTTCATTGACCTTGCCATCGGATAAAATTGTTGGAGTAGTAATTCCAACAGGAATGTCCGTATTCGACGGGTATGAGCCCCTAGTTGGTGGCGGGTCTTGGAGAGTCGTGCCTTCTGCTACATGCTGACCAGTAATCCCGAACGAGTCCATCGCAGGTACGCTGCTGGGCCCAGAATGGACGCTATCATGACTAGTCGAAGGTACGGAAGGAGCTGTGATTGAGGTTGAATGTATATCGCTGGTTTGAATATCGGAGAGATAATCGACATAGCGGCTCTTGTTATTGCGTCTTACGCTCTTTTGCCCCCTTTCTTTACGTGATGGGTTGGGCCCTATCAAATCGCTGATCAAGTCTTCATGAACGGGCAAGTCCGTGTATTTGACAGTGGAGCTGTGCTGAAAATTTCTCTTGACCCATCTTTTCAACTTTGTATCATAGAAGAATGAATTCTCCTCGCCCAATGCGGCGCGTACGGGCTTGTTTTTAGTGTCTTTGTGTCCAGAGCTAAAAAAGCCCCAAGTCCTCCAACCCTTTGTCTGAGGCCGTTGAGAAGCTCGTTTCGCTGTAGAGAATCAAGTCAGCAACAGAAGACCGAGAGGGATATACTGGGTTTTGAGACTTTACCATCTTCTTCGGCACATTTTCCAAGAATTTCGTCTGCCAAGCGATCTGGATATTTTGTCTGCCCTGTATCGTTAGACATCAAGGAATCATCACTAGCGGGAGATCTAATTTCAGCCACTTTGTTGGTGTCTTCGGAGTCGGTCGATCCTGTTTCATTAGCCTCATCTGTGTCCATGTCATCGAACTGAAAGCGCATAGAGTTAGACACAGGCTTGGACATTGAAGGCCGAGCGGTCGACCCGGTTCCTGCGGATGTTGTGGAATGAGAATATTGGAGGCTCTCAGATTTGCGTCGCATCTCCGAAGTCTGAGTCTCGGCATTGGGAAATGCATGTTTATCTTTGGTTTGATTCCTGCTCCCGTCAGAATTATGTGAGACACAGATCTAAACCTAGACTTACTGAAACCCTGAGACGTCGAGTCTCTGAATGACAGAGGGACCGTGTGTCAACTGATAGCGAACTACTTCGCTGGCATGTATACTCAAGACACCATCTCGGATTCTCAAACCACGGTCCCTTTCTAGTTCTTCTTTACATATATCGACTTCAAAGAGCATTTGTCGGATGAGCTGGTCGTACACCTGAAGCTCATCTTGTCCATCGCGATTGACTTTTCCACGAACCTTTTGACTGGATACACCTTGGCTGACTGTAGCAGAGAAATGGCCATCGTCGTCGTTCTTCGCCTCTGCTTTGTAGATCCTGCGAGTGTGGTTTGCCTCTTGGCCATGGTTGACCCTTTCTTCAAGAAGACCTTCTATCACAGTACGCTGATCTTGCAGTTTTGTTGGGAAGGTATGTCTAATTGATAGCTCAGGGAAAGGATATATTATCATGGGTGGTATACTTACTGGCGTACTTCTGCCGCGTACATTATCACGTTGAGGAGGAGAAGCATTGTCGACTTGAGCCTCTCTAGATTTTCTTTCAAGGGATCGACGTTTGGCTCAAGAAAGACATTCTTGATGGTCCCCGTAGCTCGACGCATACGCGATGTTGTGGGCTCATTGGCATTCTCTGTCATTTTTCGTAATTGCAGAAGTACTTTTTGGCATTCGTTGAGGACTTGCTGCGCAGTCCGAAATGCCTCCTTGGAGCAAAGCTTTGATGATCCATCTTGGCTCAAAACTTCTCCAAGCTCACGCAGAATAGCGCAGGTCAGCGCAACTTCGCTAGAGAGACTTTGCATGGACTGGTTGATGTTCTTGGCGTGGCGATAGAAGCCAAAGAGCTTGACTGATATCTTTGCCCCGAGGTCTGCGAGCTGAAGGAGGCTTGCTGCGACCCCGACGACTTCAAGTCCCGACATTATAGCAGCGAGCCGTAGTGAGCCACCTTTTGTGTGAGAAGGGTATACAAAGCGCGCAAGGTGAGTTGGGAGAGAGCTGGGGCCCTGTGTCAGATCTACATGGCCTCTGGGGCTGTGCAGTTCATAGTGTAAACTCTACTGGGGGGCAGAGCCGCAAGGTGATCAGTTGCCACTGGCATTTGGTCCAAAACATTTCCTCATGTTCCGATGCGTTAATGTGCTGAGGCCCTACGCTCTGCTTGATAACTAATGGTGGAGGAGGCGCCTTGTCTGGTTGGCAATCACTTAGGCAGAGTTCTAGGCAGTGGTCACAAATTCAACTTGTCCCGCCTAACACCTCTTCCACAAGATGAGAAAGTGAGTAAATCAGGGATCTTAACATTATGGATCATTTTTAGTGTAATATACAGATATAACTTCAGGATTGCAAATACAAGAGCACCCAGTTGGGAAATCATAACAGAATATTCGGCATGACATATTTCTGGTCATTGAGAGTGGCTGTGTTGCAAATCAGGGTAGCACAGACCCGCGTTTCACACACACATTCATCTCTTATTGTAACCTTACTAATAGCTAAGCTCTTTAATAGTCTTGAGAACCGTGCTAGTTGGATTAAGAATTGGGGCGAAGAAATGGTCCCAGGGGAACCATCGACGTTCACGTGACTATTGATCACCTAGTCATATTAGCATGACGCTCTAACAAACTGAGTTGTGGAAGAACCTCTACTATCTCGAAGCTTCATATATCGAATACTGTGGCGAAGACAAAGAACTCGCGATCGAAACCCGCTATTTAGTAATTTCTTGGATTCTGTACTTGATGTCTGCTCAGTCTACTGTTGAAGACCTGATATAAATTGTGTTATGTGTTGATGTCTTGGCGTAACTTGCTTCGAATTTTTGGTAGGATACTTCATATTGTGTCTCAGCATTCAATATTTATGTATGACATATGTGGTATTTGGATGTACCATATAATATGCTTGTTCAGGGCTCGAGTCTGGCGAGACTTATCCAACGGGACAATGCAGCTTGCAAGCTTCTTATGTCAACCTCGTTCGTCGACACCCATGCCACGACACCATCAGGTCGCAACAGTAAACCCTTCAGCCCGAATGTCTCCTTTGCACTGTTTCCACAGTAGTGAACCATGAGCTGCAGGGACTGCAATGATTGCACAAACTCTGCCACCTGACGATTGCTCTCAAAGTCAATAACCAAGAAGGGTCCGTTTTCTAATTTAGCTCCGAGTCGCAGCCCATCATCGAATTCAAAATCCGGAGCGCTACAGCCGACAAGTGGATGTGCATCACCCAGGTCATAGCGCAGTGAAAGCCCCCAGATGCGATCGGCGAAGTAAGTGGCACCTTCTTGTGTATTTACCATGTCCCGCATGAGATTCGCAATGGCCTGGCCATACGGATCAGGGCGTAATGTCGCGACTTGAGCGCGAGTCCACCCCAGCACTCGTGCTGCCTCTGGATGCCGCTCTTGGTGGTAAGTGTCTAATAGGCCAGGGGATGCAACCCCCTTGATAGTAGCTGCAAGTTTCCAGCCGAGATTCATCGCATCACCAATCCCCGTACTCAATCCTTGCGCGCCCAGTGGAGAGTGGATGTGGGCACTGTCGCCAGCCAAGACGATACGTCCTTTACGGTACTTTGTTGCTTGCTTCGAGCGATCGGTGAATGATGAGGCCAAGTGAAGCGCTTCGACAACGATATTTGTGCCTGACACTCGTCGTAATACTTCTTGGAAGTTTTCCCGCGTGATAGTTTGTGACCGGTCAAAGCCCCTATCAAAATCGATAACATGCAGCTGTCCAGGCCCACTAACTATATACATCCCCATGTTTGTGTGCGTAAATCCTGGCTTCAATAACTCTGGTCTGTCGAGATCGCACATCGCAATATAACCAGTGAACTGCGCTTCTGTCCCGACAAACTCGAATCCAGCAGCTTTGCGAACGGTGCTGCGTCCACCATCGCATCCGACGAGCCATTGCGCCGTAAAACACTGGTCGCCGGTCCATATCTGTACTGATTCACCTTCATTAATGAGTCGAGAGACCTCCATGCCTCTAAGAATCTGTACACCAAGAGTCTCCGCGCGTTTTGACAACACCGCATCGAGACGCCCAAGAGAGGTCGGACCAGGAAGAAAGGACGGTCCTGGTAAATGATATGGCCATCGTGAAAAATTGATATTGTTGGCATTAAGTACCAAGCCACCAAAGTGTCCCCCAAACTGAAAGCTTTCGGTCTTCTGGAAATTCGTCGGGCGATCGTCCTCACCGAAGATCTCCTTTAACATACCACGACGATAGAATGCCTCGACTGAAGGGATATATAGGCCGCGACGACCAAATAATCCCTCCTTCCAAGGCGACGCCAGCTGAGTCTCTCGTTCCAGTACAAGTACCGACACGCCAGCTGTGGCCAATTCACATGCGAGAAAAAGCCCTACTGGGCCAGCTCCAGCAATGATAACATCCCAAATTTGGTCCATCATTCAAATCTCCATCAAAAATGTATTTCGGGCTCGGAAGCGGTCGTGTTGAGTTCGCAAATGAAGTCCTGCAACGGGTTTCTTTTAAATAATTCATCTCGGGCTTTACTAAGTTCCGTTCGGGCTGCGAACTCCGACGGCGGGCATGAATAAACCCCCTAATGACTCTTTTTCTGGCCCACAATCAAGGGAAATTCACATCAGGGTGGTATCTTCTTGTAGACTGTTTCTCGGGCAGTATATATCATGCACAATCATAAACTCACGCTACATTTGTCCGACACCTGTTAACTTGGCGTATTCTCGGAACTTGAAAGTGACAAGAGACTTCAACGGCCAGATGTCAATAGTAAAAGGCAGAACGTCATGGAGACTTTCTTGTGGTGGACTGACTTATCTGGGGTCATCTTGGGAACGACCAAAGAGAATGAAACAATGCTAACTGGCCAACGATGGCTGGTAGCTGTACGGAGATCTTATACCACGGTCCATTAACAAGACAACAACAGCCCACTAGTAGATAATCGCCAATAAGATCGTCCAAACAACCATGTGTCAAGCAATGATCAGGGCCACATGCGCCGGGAATGTCAGGTGTTATACCATAGCGTGGTATATTCTTCCCTGACATATGGGGCTTGAAGCGGATGTTAAAAGATCGATGTCGATGAGCAGTACGATCTCAAGCTAAGCACAGATCGCTCATAAGGCTCTAGTGAACAGGATTAGAGGATGGTATTACTTCTATATTTTTATATACATAAGTATGGATGTCAGGCTTTATTGCTCGAGCTCTTTTATTGCTTCTTCAATACTAGGAAGCCTCTGTCGCCCCAGATTGAGCCTTCTCCTCCACTTCGCTTCCTTCTTCAGCTTGGATCTCCGGCGACGAGTACGGGGATAGTTTATCGGAGACTCTCCACCAATAAAGATGAAAATGTCATACACTGCGCCTCCTACTAGGGCACCAGAGATGGTAGCCAGCCAAGCTCCCCAAAACCACCAACCCCCTCGTTCGGTGAACGTGCTTCCACCATATCCTGCCATCAGAGCCACCAGGCGAGGGCCAAGATCTCTGGCTGGGTTGAAACATCTAGACATCCGTTAGCGGGGCTATCTCTCTCACAACATCCAAGCAAGTGGGAAAATACGCACCCACCAGTGTTATAACCGAAGCCGATTGCTAACACAAAGATCAACAGGCCAATGATGAACGAGTGCATACCCGCACCGGGCGGTGCATTGCTGTCGTCACCCATGGCAAAGATTGTACAAATTAGAATAGCGGCAGCGACAAATTCGTTAAAGAACGCCGTCACATTGCGGACGTACGTCAGGGGTTCGGTATAGAAGCCCAGACCAGTAGCACCCATTGTGATGCCGGAACCGCTGTTGGAACCACTGTGGAAAATCGAATCGCGATATATGCAATATGCAAGTCCACCGGCCGTGAGAGCCCCCAGAATTTGAGCAACCACATAATAGATACATCGCCGACCTGGAAAGCCTCGATAAATCCATAGGGAAATGGAAATCGCTGGGTTTAGATGGCCACCACTGACCCCACCGGCAATATAGATTCCCACGGTAATAGCCAGTCCCCATGCCCAGTAAAGAGCGAGCTTGTTGCCTGCCTCACCTCCACCGGTCGAAATTGCCAGAGTTGCACATAATCCAATTAGCATTGCCACTGTAGTCTGCCAATCCCATAGTCAGCATGCTATCTCTTAAATCATGTTCTGAATGGGTAGGATGTCTTACCCCTAGCCATTCAGCAAATGGCTCTCGCAGTCTGTGTCGCACCCTAGACCACTTGTTGAAATGCTCCGCCTCGCCCCCGTATGGCTTACCCCCATCCTCCGTCACCTCGTCTTCTACTGGACGTGAGACTCTGTCGGGGGCATCCGCATTTGACATTTCCTGGTGTACCATTGTATCATCATTGGTGCCCGACCGAGGATCAGAGGTCGCCCGCCCATCTTGTCCGTGCTCGTCTCCCTGGTCTGGAGTGGCCTCCAACTCAGGCACTGGTTCTGACTCTCCCTTTTGTCCTGTTGGGTAGGCAGACGTTGTCCCACCACCATCATGGCGGCGCATGCCTGGTCGGACCACGCGCGGAAGGGGTTTCGCTAAACCCCAGATCGGCTCTTCATTCGTCTTCCCATAGTCGGGATTCATGTCATGATATTCTGGATGAACGTATGTCGAGCTAGGGTCAGGTTCTCGTGGGCCGGCAAGAGAAGGAATCGTTTGATTCGTCTGACTTGTCTGGTTTGTCCGACTGGTCTGGTTCGTCTGCCGTCGTCTGAGTTGAGAGTATCGGGACGCTCGCTGTGATCCGGTGCTGCGATACTGCAGTGGTGGTCGCTGTCTGTCTTGTCTCATGTCGTTTTGTTGGTTTTGGGGTCTCGGTGGCTCGCTTCTATTTTCTTGGATTGTATTCAGGTCATTATTCCGATCCAGACGGCCATCGGCCAGATCCTGCTCTCCTGGCATCTCGGATCTTCTGTGTGTATGAATTCCAAGGCTCGGGCAAGAGGTGAGGGGGAAGAAAGAGACAAAATGGGAAGGATAGAATTCCAATATATAAGCACACAGTAGAATGAAAGGCTAGCTCTGTCTATTATGAAAATCTTATATCATAACATCATCGATGATGATACCATTGACCGAGTCGAGAATAACCTACCTCCTTCCTTTTCTACTACGTATCTGATCTACGCGCGGTGGGGTCATAATATCCAAAAGTAACTCTTCTGACATAGTACGCTAGAATGGCCAATAAGTTGTCTAATTATGATAAATGTTCCCTGGTTGTTCTTTGAGAGTCGCGTGGCAAAACAACCCTATCGCGACTGATTGAGCGGATTCTCGCCCGGCCGGCGGATCCATGATGTCACGAGCAGCCGTAAACCCTTAAGAAAAGAAAAATCTCAAATCTTCTTGGCAATCAACAGACCGAGCCCTACAATTTTACAGGGACATTTTTAAAATATCGAGCACCTACCATATCCGGTATCTTGGGCCTCTAGAATGTTCATCATTGACAGCTCGGGATGTCATCCCGGTTGGCAGTACTCCGTAGAGTCCGGGAGGCCTCTTAAGGGTTTCAAGGAACCCGACCAAAGGACATGTCGATCCCGAGCTCTAGAACACGTTAACCTCTGTTGCTTAACGGTGGCCATGACACATATTATGGAGTGTCCTATAGCATTGACTGTTATCATACATAAGTGGTCCTTGAACGTAAATAAGCTTGGTGGAAGCCACGACGTAAAAATATCTTACTTAGCCCTAGGGATCCACCGACGATCGTTACTCTTTGGAACCAGCACCGGCTGTCCTTCCAGCCAATCAGTATTATTATAACAAACGGAAATTTCAAGCTTATCCAATTCAGGGCTGCAAATCCCGTTTCAGCCAACTTCAGTCACCGATCCTAGCAGTTCACATCTCACATCGAACCTACCAGCTATATGCAAGCTTCCCTTCTTTCTAGAACACCTGTATGCAAGGCCAATGCAGCCTGGTTACGTCATTTCATGTAGCCGTCCACAATTTAGTATATTCCCACCGCGTTGTTGCTGCTGGATCATGCAACCAGGATTTTCCATGCCAAGATCGTTCGTCTGCTTCTAAACGTGGGCACAGACTGTTCGATTAAATCAATCCGCCACGCTACGGAAATCCGTCTGAAAACTTCAATTCCATCCATCCTGCAGAGATGGTGCAGTTAATTCTCAATGTTACCACGCTGCAGGATACAAACTGGACACACGCCACTATGGTGGGCTTTCGGTACACCGCGGAGAGTATACCATCAATGAACATATCAATTAACAGGGTATCTTGATTACATTAGTATAGAGAGAGAAATTATAAAAGATTGAGACAGCATCAGTCATTTAAGACCCAAAAGGTAACTGGAGAGCAACCAGCTAGGGAAAATATAGCGGAAGCATCTTTGTATAGGAATAAAGACTCGGTAGCCTGCTCACTATTATGCGTGGCCCACTGAGCTTCATCCGTGGTCCATACAAGTGCAGTCCAACTATCCACTCTATGGCGTACGACTGAGCTCCGGGTGACCTGGTTGTGACTCTTGGGCAGTCGACTCCGACGACACCATGCCGGAGGTCGGCATATCATACAACTCATATGCTTGCCCGTCATCGTTATAATCGACTGCTATCCTGCTCACACCCCCTGGGCGCGGAAAGGTTCCCAAGCTATATGTCCGACCGATTTCTTCCAAATGCTCCCGTTGCTGTACTTCAGTCCACGAATGAGTGTCCTCGAAATCACGCATCATCTGGCTATGTGCAATCCATGGGATGAGCGAGCCAATGGATTTGGGAATGCGCGGTGCATTGAATCGCCCACGGTATGCGACAAATACACCGACCATCAGCAGAACATCCAGCGATACAAGAATGATGACAATCAGAATTGACGGCGTTGATGGTAGTATACCCCACATGCCTTGAGTGACTGTCCCGTCGACGGCGATGGAATGAGACTGGGGCAAACGCTGAAGATACAAATCTCGCCAGAGTGTAAAGTAGGTGCTAAAGACTGTTCGGTAGGTAAGCTGGACGGCATTGATCAGAAGTGCAGGGTCCACAGAACCCGAACTTGGGTTCAATTTCTCTATCATGCGTGCCGTCAAAACTCCGGGCCAGTCATACTGGTAAAATGATAAATTTGGACCAGCAGGGAGTGCTTCAATTGAGTGCGTAAACGCCATGTTAAATTGTCCCAGGATATCAGACGCATTCTGATAAAGTGCACCGTCAGTGATCGAGCTTCCGGGCACCGCCTCGTAAGACTCTACATGGCCAGAGTGGTCGAACTGGACCACGAAATCTTGGATGTGAATTGTCGGCTGACAGTGCAATGCAACTGTGCTGTCATTGTTCAGCGATGTCCGTGTCATTTTATGCCAACGCGCAAGAACCACGAGTGTGGACCTCTCGCATTCCGTTGGTGCGGAGGACCCCGTTGGCGCCAGATAATAAATAAATCCCTCGGGGTATTCTGAGGCTGTCCATGGCGCCTCTACAGAGCAGGCAGATTCCGTGCTACCATTGAAAGGTGTATAACGCCAGTATGGCTTCCCTGAATCACTATCGATCCATTGATTGCTAGATGGAAAGCTTTCGCATATCAGATCAACACCGATCCCACGTGTGGAAGCTGTATAAGAAGTACGATCGCTTTCCGGTCCATCAATGAAAATTGGCACAAATGAGTAGTTCGACGTAGTCCACGGCAGGAAGGGGGCATCCCTTGTGATACTGCTGGGAATAAAACTGTAGCTATCCAATACAGGGCTATGCGGTTGTCTTGAAAGCGTGGACAGGTTGTATGTCGCAAATAAACCAGAAGCAGCCGTCGAATGTTGTCTTACTTGTGGCTCAAACAGGCCACCGCTCATAAGCGTCAAGAACAAGTCCAGAATACAGGCCAGTGAGATGATGACAAGGAGGCGAGGGCCACGGCGCGTGCATTTCCAAAGCACCGCAAACGAAGTTTGACAGCCATAGTTCATCAACAGCGACTGCCTCGCTGTCACCAGTCCCTTCTGTAACTGAGTCCACGGCTCCAGGACGCTGAGGTGTCGAAGCACTGACGCGAGAAGCACGCTGATCGTGGAGGCAACTATAGTTGGGACAAAGAGCATCGAAACATACAATACTACCTGGGGCCCGGTCATGGAGTCAGGATTGTCCATACGAAGATATCGAAGAGATAGCCCAAACAAAGCGAGTACTAGAGCTAGCCATAAACATTCAATGAAAAACAACGGTAATCTTAGGAAGTGTGGCATGAAATCCTTCTTTCTCCGGGACTTGCATGTGGAAAGAGGTACTGGATTTCCATCAAGTGACACAATCTCCAACCTAGGTTCCTTTGGCCCTCCGCTCCATCGGCACCATAACCCCTTAGCCCATTGGAGAAGTTGCCTGGTGGTGGCTTGATCAAAATCTGTATCAGGTCGAGCTAGTGCGATTGTTGGACTGAACAGATTCGCAACGATCGCGCACTGCGCAGCAATTGACCCCGGGTCGCTTCGAAGAAAGTTAGGGCGCCGCGGGTAGACAAGAGCTAGAAAGGAGAGCAAGATAGAAGCTACACATAGCATGATTTCCGCATGAACCGCAGGGTCGGGCAACATTTGAAGGATGACTGAGACACTCTGCTGTTCTGCATAGGTCATGGTAGGTCGTGTAGGATCGAACATTTTGTTCATCGTCACAAGGAAGCGATGATTCCACAATTCTCGCAGCTTTTGCTGATACTGTTCGAGTTCTATGAACTTAGATACGGTCCCAGTCACTTGGAGGCTGGACGAGCTGGTAGTGTTCACAGTTCTCTGCATACCTGACGCGCGAGCCCCGACGCGGAATTGATCCTCAAACTTGTCGATGCTGAACTCAGCCGGACTGAGGCTGCTCACGGTGTCCTGTTGGATTTGAGCTGCGACGATTGATGTGTTTGTGGCGATGAAAACCTCCGCTTCGGCGTAATGATAAGTGGCCATACAAGCAAACGCCGTGGCCTTTGGAGTCTGCATAGAGTTATTTTTCAATATATTCCCTTCAATCAATATGCCATACAATGTGAGCGAACCGCAGCTGCTGCCAGAAAATGCAGAGGTGGCGTTAGTATTCCTGCTGGATTGACTTGGCTCCCAATAGCGAAGCTGAAAGCGATCACTGTCGGTGGGTACGACGCTGTCGAGTGCGAAGTTAATCGAGCAGCCTGAAGTACTATCACTATCACTCATAGTTGGAACGGATATATTGTGCATATTCCATGAAAGTGTCTGTACGCCATCTAAACTGTTTCGATTCGTAGGGTGCCTCGTTGGCGTAATCCCACTCAGAGGCGTGTCCACACAAGTCAGATTCGCCCAATATATGGTTTCGTTCAGGCGCAACATGGATGTATCATTCTCGTCATCCACGGGCATTGAAAGTGGTGCGGCTGCGTAATGGGGTGATCGAAAGAACGAAAGATCAGTATCTTGACGAAATTCGACGCGGCCAGATGCTTCCGTTGCCATCCACGCCTCTTGGGTTGGCAAGTCGAGAAGGGCCGGCCATGTTTCTATCGTCTTGGGCTCAGTCAGGTTCAGCTCACCCATCACTATTAGCCCAGAAAATAGGGAGGGTAAAAGCATCCGGAGGACCAAAGACATGAACGACACGCAAAGAACAATCCAGTGCCGGTTGCGCGCGGCGGTTATAGGCGCAAAGATACCGTAGCAAAAACTGTAGTTTGTGAAGAGTACGGTTGCTGAGGCTCCTCGCGACTTGGCCAGCTGAAAGTAAGGCTCGAGTCGCATCACATCACAGGAACTAAACTCCCATAGGTTCACAGCGACCAGCGCTATGGCTGTTGGAACAATGGTGTAGGTCACTGACACAGTTGTGGGAAGATCGCTGGCATCCTTGTAGCGTACGAGCCAGCCAATTCTATCACTGTACTGACGACAAACCTCAACAGCGATTGCCGTCAGCAGCAAGAAAGCCGCCAGTGTGAGAAGGTATGGTGCTCGTAGAGGTACTGGTCTCCACGCGCCTCGAGGATCCCACACCAGTCCTGTTCTCTCGATTTCTACTGATCGGAAAGGCCATCCTGCGAATATTCAAGTCAACGCTGAATGTATTTAGATTGTCATGAGGTTCGTACCTGACCGTCTCTTCCATATCACTGTTGTTGTGCCCCATTTCCAGATCATTTGCCGTTTTTCCACCCGGAATGGTATCTCAGCAACGAAGCATCATCCCCTGTGAGCTTGATCACGGCCGAGCACAATTAGCATTCAGTATAAGGGATAACGACGCGACATGACAACGTTCTCGTCCCAGGGGAAAAGTCAAGCATTAAGACCCACTGGTGATAATAATTTACCTTATTTTGCCACAAACTGTGGCTGCCTGCTGGAGGTGGAGTGAACATGTGACATAGTAGCCCTATCCCATATCTCTTATTGGTCTTGGAGATCCCCACTAGTTAAATTGCATTTAGCACTTGTCTTGGATTTCGGGCTTTGTCGTACGTACTTTATTGGAGTTCCCAGATTTTCCTGTTGAAGGTGGAGATATTAATGCTTGGCTTTAGGCACGCCACAACCCCGATTGACTTAACTTGAGACACTACCTGAGTTCGGCATATTCCTTGTGTTCTCCGGGTGCTTTGGCGTTGACGTTCCCAGAGAAAGGGAGAGATGTTGAACAGTCACTATAATTGATACCTATTCATTACACCATTAGTGCTATGATTGCTTTTATGCTACAGTGGTTTATCTTCTATGCTTATTACTTTTGTACGTGCCGGATGGCAGTTGCTAAAGGGCATATCACCAAATATATATCCGCGACGCCAACGAGAAAATCTAGAACTTTGTGCTTTTGACACAACACCAGCACAGTGTAATGCTGATTGATACAGTAGTAATATATAGGCAAATAGGCAAAGTTAACGCCGTGTCTATTTACTGAACTCACGATGTCTCTGCAGATCAATGTCACATCATGGTTATGAGTAGAGGATTAAGGGAAAACACCGGAACCTCGGCGACGATAAGCATTGACAAACAACTATTTGGAAGGATAACAAGTGGGGAAAGGATGAAAAGAAAAAATAAGAAAAAGACAAGAAAAGATAAGACAAAAGCCTAAAATAAAGAAAAGAAGGACAGAAGCAAATAAAGAAAGGGCAAAAAAGCAATGACCAGACTGGGGCTCGATCCCAGGACCTTATCGGTGTTAACGATACGTGATAACCAACTACACCATCCGGCCAATTGATGAATGTGCATTTCTTATCTTACTTTATAACATAAATAAAACACCTACTAAATGTCTCCATAACGGCGTTTGCCTCAGGCAACGGTTCAGCTGCCACTGCCAGCCCTTGCCTGCTCCATAGAGATTCCGACCGCATAGGCGATCTAGATCCCCAAGCGATTCGTTCTGTTTCAACCAATCTATTCTTCCTTAGAATCCTGAATATTCCCAATATCCCTAGTACTATGTATATTGTAGCCTGTTGGCCTACAGCACCCCGAAGGTAGACCGCCAGACAGATAATGTACACTGGAAGGGCGCTCTGAGATTCGGAGTCAGATGACGAGCAACTAGCCGGTTCGCGATGTCTGCTTTGAAATGTTTTTTAGATTAGCTTTTTTGCTCGAGCAGTATAATCCCGTGGGCTGTTCAGGTATAATCCATATTGAGACCTGGTACTGCATGGAAGGAGGGCAAAAGAAAACGTGACTGCGACTCTACTCAGAGGTATCAGACGTCAGCACCTTGGTGATGCCTGGTAAAATGATTAAAATGATCACAGAGTTACAGCAGGTCCCAGTTGCCAACGTTGTATCACGAACAATGTATAATGTCTGCCTCCTGGCCATCAAAGCCTACCGGGCCGTCTTTCTCAAGCAATCCAGAACAGGCATGAGCCAATTGTTGCTTTGAGCTAAGGCAGTAGGGATAAATGGTGTTCAATTGGTCAGCGCAAGAAAACCGTGATCAGCTACCCAAAAGCTGCGGCATAATGCTGTTCCAGAGCCCGTGGGCAGAGCACGTTTCAGATCCTAAATTCCATAGTCCTAGTTACGAAAACAAATATGGTTTCTCTTGAAAGTGAGCGCTTCTGACAACTGATTTCATGTCTACAAGTCCCTTTCGTGAATAGAAAGTTCACGCCTTCATTTTCTGTGCTCCATGCTTGAGGCTGTGTTAGCAACCCTTGAGAAATAAGCGAAAGTAACCTCCCAAAGCATCTGGTGCGCTGCAATGCTCACGTCGCTCGGGGCATCTTATAATAGACGTATATCATCAAAACGGCCCCACCAAACATGCAACAACCGTTCAAAGCCTGGCTCTTCCAGAATAGCCCCTTCTCAATATCATTCAAGGCAGACGTAACTGGAAAGCCGACCAGTGTTCCCAGAGCCGCAGCAGCTGATGATATACCGATCCTTGTACCAACGAGCTTTTTATCTGGCGAAAGGTGCGGCACAATAATCGGATATAAAACTGCTAGCGGTCCCATAAACAGAGCGATGAGCACCGCCCAAACTATAGTGGAAGCAACCGATTTAACACCAATCCAGCCGAAAAGGAGGACACTGGATGCCAGAGCAAAGCCGCCCATGGTAAGCGCGGGCCCGAATCGAGTTGAGAGTGGCACCGCCAGGTACCGTCCTGGAATGGTTGATGCATTGCAAATGACCAGGATGTAGAAGGGCAAATTTGAGCCTGCGCCGGCTTTGAATTCAGCAAAGGTAGGAAGTAAGAAAAAAGGGACCCAGTAGGCGATCCACATGAGGAATAGAGCTACGCAGAAAGTCATAAAGGCTGGGTCGTGGAATGCTGTGGGATCCAGGAGGGAGCGGACATCATTGGGAGCCTTGCCCTTAGTACCGGGTAACATGATAGCCATAGCTATAATTAATTCGCCCAGTGTCACGAAACCGAGGACTCGAGTTGCCCACGGGAAGCCAAGTTTGGGCTGGAGTCTGGAGAAGATGATGGGGTAAATTATCCCACCTTGATTGTGCCAAGTTAGTGACAATATCGATGAGAATGCGGGGACAAGGTGTAGAGGACGTACCAAATGCAGTCCCTGAGGTGGCAATGAACATGGCTAAGGGGCGACGTTGTTGAAACTTCGACGCAACGAGACTGATGCTAGGCACGTATAGGATTGCGCTTCCGATACCGACACAAATGCCCTGTGCCAGGAGGATCTGATAGTACTTCTGTGCCAAACTCAACATCATGACGCCCAATACCGTGGTTATTGTGCCTATAGTCAAGAGCTCTCTGATGTATCCGCGATCGAAGATCGGACCGGTTACGACGCCTCCCACTGTAAATCAAAGCCCCCCGGTTAGCCCGTAGATCTTCTGCAATTTTGACCTGAAAATGTCCTTCTGCCTCTCGAGATATCTAAAAACTTACAAATGAGAATGACACCTTGTAGTGTGCCGACCCACGCGATTGTGGTTGAGGGCGTGGAAGACAACATATTTGTCTCATAGTACTTTTCGTATGAGCCATAGGCACTCAGTAGACCCCTTCAGAATACAGAAGCGATGAGCAAGACAGATTAGATAGGATGGGGGACGCATCGACTCACCATGTTGCTGTGTAGACGAGAAAGGCACCTAGGGCCTGCAGCCAAGCGCCTAGGCTCTCGTGTCCCTCCTGGGCGATATTTTGCTGTCTGCGTTGTGGAACGCTGGTTGGGATGGCTTGGAGACTTTCGGGAGGAGATTCTGGCGAAGAAGCCATGTACGGGTTCCGGTCCCAGGAAAGCTGCTCTGTAGATGAGGCGAAGAGTGTGCGAGAGTTGAAAAAGCTGTGTACCCGTGGGTGCAAAGGATATGATTCATAAGGCTTACAAAGCTAATACGTAGTGCCATTGAGATATAGCCGGCCCCTGCCCCGAGCAAACATTCTGTACAGCTATTCACATAACTGAGGGTATTCCCAATTATAATCTAAGTAGAGTCGAGGTGTAATCTAATTTGAGATGTCTAAAGGTCCATTGTGTATTGAATCGCTGTATTACTCCACCAAGTGGTTTGAATGCGGACATCTACGAGTTCAGCTATATGTTCAAATAGTTGAATACCAACGTCCCGCAACATGTGCACCTCCTGATGAAGTGAGGACCTGAAAAGCAATATGCTAGGTTTAATGACTCTTTTCTGGTCTGCTTCAGCAAGAAATACCACCTGTAGTTCGTTCTCGTGGTCCACAGCGACAAAGGATATGGCACCTGCAAATAAAACGGGCCCACAGCTGATTAGCATGCATTAGTCCGAGCTCGTCCCCTGCCTTTTTTAATTGGCGATCTGCTAGGATTTCATTCTTCGTGATATCTATTGCCTTGCTCACATAGAAACTGCGGCACGTGAGAGGCTGCAACTCTAGAGGGCCCCGTAGAGATGTGATGAGTGGGCTCCGGACATAGTCAAACGCCGTAGCGTAATGGATGTCTATGAGAGCCATTGCGCGAATAAATCGCTGGATCGTGGCGGGCGATATTTGTGGTATGGTGATGAAATGGACCCAGTCAACTTCGGGGGTGAGCTGGACTACTTTTGAATATCAATGGATGGGCCATGTTGCAGAGGGACTATCAGAAGCCAAGTTTAATACGGCAGCAGCTCAACTAGTTTGGGGGCCATGTCATCTGCAGGGCATTTGGGGGATCATATTGAATGCTTTCTCTTTCAAATACATGTTTGTTCATTCTTGCTTGTTTCCTCTAGCTGGCTCCAGGTGCATATTCATCTCACTGGGAATAGCGACACATGTGTACTCTCATTGCATAAGTGAACAGGGAGCCCTATTACGTATTGCTCTCGCAGAATTACCATCCAGAAAGCATCGCCTCGCCAGCCCACGCCTAACCCGCCCCCTGCTCTTTAATAGACAGGGATCGGGACACAGATTACTTGGCGTAACGATTCTCCCGTGGACTATGTAACATTGGACGGACCACGGTTGATTGAGACCGTCGGGCTGTGCCGACTCCCCCAACCTCGTCGCTTAACATCAGTTGTTGTAGTCTGCATACGTTGATTGCTACCATAAAATGTAAACCATACTACGTACACCCCTGCTCTGAATCAGAGCACGTCTATGTGTCTCGCTCGGGCATGCGAAAGATATGTTGAGCCATACCCCTTCTTAGAGTCATCAGCATACCTCTATTATTGTATACTGTTCACAGAAAACACTATACAGAGAAGCCATACTAAGTGTATAGGTTGTATGAATGAATCAAACCTAGGGTCCCGTCGAAGAAACGGATCAAAGTACGCCAAGTACGGCAGGTGGGGTGGAATGAATGCTACGTGAAACGCACGGCGGCTAATAGAATCCACTGGCCAAGATGCAACCCATATTAATTAATTTATTTTAAGTGACCGGAAGACCGACCGAGAGAGCATTAGCTCGTAGTGACCCACAGAATGATAGACAATATGGTGGGATTCATGGGTGGACTGCCTAGATAACCATTCCGAAGTACATCGCACGCTGCTCCACCTAGTCCCGACGATCGCGCACTGATTCGGTCACCGTGAAGGTCCTGACCTCCCGAATGATATGAGTTTGGCTCGACTGACTCCCTGAATCACCGTCGGATATAGCTTCGGAAGCAGTAACCGTTGTCTCATACGTGTCCTTGACTGGGCTTATTGGAGTAAGCTCGTGAACCTCACTGCCATGAAAAGTGGATTGATAACGCAACGAGGATAACCCATGTCGCTTTGTTGATGCCATATTGTAACTCGTCAATCCATCAATGCGCATACCCGTGGAGCGCAAGCTATCCATGAATGGTTTGAACTGTGGGGAGCAGGCAGTAACGACACTCAAGCACTGGACAAGCTGGGTCGATACGGTAGCCGACCAGGTATCAAACGTAGGATCTTTGGAATCAATGGTTCTGTTGACATAGACAAGTTGACCGATAATAGCAGCGATCACACTCCAGCGCTCGATCAGCGACCCAGTAATAAAAGGGTTGAGTCACGTTCGGTATTACTCACAATATGCGAAGCCCAAAGATACTAGCTAAAGTTCCTTTCTTCGCCCAGTGTGCCTGGATCCCAACAACAATAAGAAGGGCCTGGATGATGATTCCCGCCTCGGACAGGATATTCGTTGCTGCAAGATAATTCCACCAAGCGCCCTACGCCCCACATGTTAGCGACATTCTTTGGTCTTTGTAGAGAATGTCATAGCATACAATGTCGAAACATTGCCCACTCAGATAATCCCACGTTCGAGGCGGCGTGCACTGGAAGATAGATGTGATGACACTTGTTACTGCCCACAGCACCGTGAAGATTTCCAGTCCGATGGCAATGCGACGGTCGGATGCAGCTGGTGTCACGCTCCAGATGAAGTGGATAAGGGATAATTTCGAGAAACACATAGTCAAAATAAAGAGAATACCTGCAGCGTGTTGGGACTTGCAAGATATGAGTGGTGTCTCGAGATTGAGAAACAAGAACAGCTCACCTTTAAAATGCTGTCTACAGCTGTCCCTGACAACGCAACATAATGTTCGCCATATCCATGGGCCGTGGCCATCGACATGGCCAGGGACTGCGCCGCGCAAAGTACTACCGAGACAATACTGAGGTAATCATCCGTCGTCCAACGTCGGAAGATCCAGTACTTGGTGCCCAGCCGAGTGAGAACGCAAAGGATGGCGGTAGTCATAAGGAACCAGGTCACGACATTGACCGTGGGCTTCCAGTTGTCTTTTGCAAGCCTGCCCATTGCGTGTGCGACGGGGAGTGTAGATCATTGAGAAATGGGAGACGCTGGCAAGGGCTTTTTACGACGCCCAAGGATGAGAGCTAATCGTGCCTCGTAACATCATCAACCAAACATTCCACCAGCAAAACTGTACCACTGCCATGGATAGCAAATTTAATGAAGGTGGAAATTACACGGGTCGGATACACAAATCTAAGACAGCAGAAGGCCAGCGCCTAGGAAGCCACTGAATTGCGAAATGTTTTCCCCAGGGGTTATCGAGGGTGGACGGCAACAGTACCTTGTCTAGCCAGAACGTTAATTAATGAACACCCTAGAAACAAAAGAATCTAAGAACTTTGCCAAATTACCCGAGACCCGTCTGGGCACTCTAGGTAAATACCATGTTGTTCCGCCGTCACATAGGTAGTGATATGATTGGGCTGATCCAGGGACGGACATGCAGCTAAAGACGCACTTGATTCTAATCCTTGCGATGTCGCAACGAAATCAGTCCACATGTAAAGGTTCCCCTCCTCCAGATTACCAAAGTCATCAAACTGGTTACTTGGCGTATCATCGCTTGTAACCGAAGCATTGAGTCTAGCCTCCTCTCTTTGTTGCGGTCGGTTCTATTTGAGAGAAAGGGCGTCGAAGAAATTTCCTCCCCTGTATGTACATAGTTGTTACTCTCTGTCGGTGCAGGTTCTTTGCCAGTTGAAGCAGAAAAATACCTCTCATTACGGACCTACCTTCGTTATGCTATATCTTTTTCCTTTGCAATAGCATATATTCCGCTTATAACAGTTTTCGTTGTCTATTTTCCTGCACTCCAGCCCACGGATTATCTCCACAATGGGTCACCATGAGTTAAAGCAGGCTCCTCCTGCAACATTACACGAAGTAGACGGCTCATCCCAGGATAATCTGGATGATATCAACCTGGCCCGCATCGGAAAGCGCGCTGTCTTGAGGGTCAGCCTTGCCCATCCCACTCAAATAACATCTGTCTGCAATCATCTGACATGCATGGTTTGACTTAGAGAAATTTTGGTTTGATGTCAATTCTGGGCTTCAGTTGCACAATTCTCATCACCTGGGAGGGTATAACCGCGTATGTTTCTGACTTCATACATACCCCCTTATTTCAGGCTGTTGCAGCTAATGTTAGAAACTGTGATAGGTTATTCATACAAGGCTTCCAGAAGTATGTGGCAAGCTCCCGTTACATATCTTGAGGAACCAGTTGGATTTTAACATGGCAATTGCAGTGGTGGCCCTGCTGGGTCGGTTTATGCCTTCCTTTTTGTCTGGGTTGGTGTCACATCGACCTTCGTTGTATTATCGGAGCTCGTTTCAATGTAAGGCATCAAGTCAAGCTTACAAACTTTGGTTGACAATCTACTAGGGCTCCAACAGCTGGTGGACAGTACCACTGGTGTTCGATGTTGGCACCTCCGTCGGCCATGAAACTCTCCAGTTATATCACAGGTGAGTCCACTTGGCGGTATTCATTGGAAGGCCTTGTAGCTAGTCGAGAGCCTGAAGATACTGACAACGCATGCTAGGTTGGCTTACTGTTATTGGATGGCAGGCCACTTATGCAACTGCCATTTATCTTAATGGAACATATATTGCAGCAATGATCTCCCTTACGCATTCTGACTACGTTCCGCAAGCATGGCATATGACTTTGTACTCTTATGCAACTGCGTTAATCGGCCTGGCCATCAACTGTGTGGGAGGCAAGCTTTTGCCGCGGTTTGAAGGCACAATACTCATTCTCCATATTCTTGGTTTCTTTGCGATCCTGATTCCCTTAACCTATATGGCCGACCATAAAAACGCCAAGGAGGTCTTTACTCATTTCATAAATGAAGGGCAATGGCCAACCCAGGGTCTCTCGTTCTTCATCGGATTAATTGGCCCTGTGTTTGCTTTCGCTGGCGGTGATGCCGCAGTTCATGTATGTCACTAGTCCCCGACATGGATATCCCTGCCAGAATATAGCAGGCTTTGCTCAACTCTAAGATCTGAAGAAAGTGCTAATCTATCCGCTTCTAGATGGCGGAAGAGATTTCCAACGCCCCTACCTACGTGCCCTGGTCGCTGATGCTCACTGTATTGATCAACGGAACCCTTGGTTTTGCCATGCTTCTGGCCTTGCTTTTTTGCCTGGGCGATATTCATAAAGCTCTCAATGATCCCACGGGACTGCCCTTTGTGGGTATTTTCCTGCAAGCGACAGAATCCATCCCAGGGACAGTAGTCATGGCTTCTATTATCATCGTGTTGTGTTTCTGTACTTCAGTAGGCATGCTTGCATCTGCATCGCGTCAATTCTGGTCCTTTTCCCGGGACCGCGGAATCCCTGGCTGGCAATTATGGAGTCAGGTAAGTGACTCGAGACCTATTTCACACGACAGCGCTAATCATTCTAGGTCACAACGCGCACAGCAATACCAACATATACCGTCGTTTTCACTACAACAATCTCACTTCTGTTAAACCTTATCAACATTGGTTCCGACGTCGCATTCAACAGTCTGGTATCGATGTCGACATCGGGCCTCTATTTATCATACATGGCTGTTGCCGGTCTGCTCCTCTACCGCCGTTGCACTGGCGGAATCATGAATAGGAACAACGGGAACCGGGGCTCGGAGGCCAAGATCAACACGGCAGGAGCTCAACTAGTCTGGGGCCCGTTTCATATGCGCGGCATTTGGGGGATTGTCGTGAATGCCTTCTCCTTAATATACATGTCCATTGCTACCTTCTTCAGCTTCTGGCCTCCGAACAATCATGCAGATGTGCAGTCGATGAACTATAGTGTGGTGGGTACACTAGGGACTATTATCCTTAGTCTTCTATATTATTTTGTCCGGGCTAGAAGGATTTACTCCGGGCCTGTAGTGGAGATATAGGGTTGGTTGGTGGGTGCAGATAGGCATATTTTCTATGGAGTAGCATGTTTATGTATGGGGTTTAGATCGCATTGACTTCAAGGCATGTTCTCAAGTAATAATATTTACAGTTTGTGGAAGTAAAATGAATCTAGATTATAAAGTTGAAGCGAACGCCCCGTTGAGTTAGATATGAAAATATTTGTACGACTTCTTTACGTGACACTATAGCGGCCCGTCCTCCTTAACCGTTCCCCATAGAGATAGAACAATATCGGTACTGGCATCATAAGCACCGATAAGAACCCCAACAGCGACGTCGCCCAGCTGATACCTAGATGGTCATACATCGGGGTAGCGAACAGAGGGAAGCCTGCAGCGGCCATGGATCGAACGAAGGTGTTCGCTGACACAGCACTGGCAGCATAAGGCGTGTACACATCAAGAATATAGTTGAGGCCCATCGTGTATATGACCTGAATACCCATCCCAATCGGAATACCAGCCAGCACTTGAGGTACCCAAGTGATGTGAGGGCTGCTGGTCCATGCAAACCAGAATAGTCCTGGTGGTAACACAACGGCACCGACCATCATGGGGATCAAGCGCTCCTCCGGCGCGACTTTACCACCCCCTTCCTTGTATTTGCGTTTAAGACGGAAGACAGTTGTTGCTGCTATGGTCAGATTGCCACAGACGACGCCTACAGTTATGCCCAAAAAGGGCAATGCGCCCACACCGGCATTCCATCCACGCTGATCCTGAAACGAGATGGGATACGCTTCAAAGAAGAGATACAATGTCCCGTATACTAGGGACATATATAGTGTTGTTAACAGAAGGACTGGCTCGAAGGTCAACATAACTGCTCATCATTAGTGAAATTGTGGCACTTCGATCGCAATGGCCTTACCAAGTGGTCGTGCCAAGTACTTCGTCAGGAATTCCCTCCCGTTCATGTGGCTTGCTGGCGGTTTCGTACTTGCTTGTCCTAGCTCGTACCTTGCATCAGAAGAGCATTCACGAGCCTGGAATCGGCGCAACAATGTCAGAGCATGGGTTTCAGGCACAAATACCATGCCAAGAACCCAGAAAAAGGCCCCTTGGATAAGAGTCAGCCAGGCTGTCCATCGCCAGCCGAGATAGCTGTCAACAACGAAACCACCCACAATTGGGCCCAGAACTGGTCCAGAGAATGTCGCGCTAGAGTATATACATGCGGCAAAACCCCGTTCCACTGGATCCCAGATATCCGCAAGAGTGGCACCAACAATCGAAAGAGGCGAACACGCAAACAGACCACCGATGAAGCGGCAGATTACAATGGTAGGGACGTTCTGGGCCACGGCCACGGGTACTTGAAAGATACAGAAGACGATCACACCAAGCATCAACGGTAATCTACGTCCATGGCTCTCGGAAAGGGGGCCCCATAGCAGAGGTCCAAAACAGTACCCCTATGTTGTTTCATTAGGGCCCATGTCCGACAGTCTAAGTAAAGCATATTGCGCATTTGTGGATTTAGATCACTCACTAACATAAACAAGCTAAGACCTAATATCATCACTTCATGGGAAACATGGAATTCTGCCGCGGTTTGCTTTTCGGCGGTGCTGAATATACTGCTCGCAAATGTGACAGAGAATGTCATGAGGGAGGCAACAACTGTAATGATCCATTTCTTCCCTTTCGACCAATTCTTCGGGTTTTCTGAGACAGGAATTGTGGCTATATCATTTAAGCTACTCCTCAGAGTCGCTCCTCGGGCTTCGGATGATCCCGAGGTCATTCTGTGCACAATTCCGTCACAGGCTATGTGGCTCTGCTGACCTGCTACCAATCGTGCAAAGCCGCAGCTTAGTTCTTAGAAACCTATTGGCAATTAAATACTTGCTGGCCCTTATTCTTGTGGGTCGGCGTGAAGGCGCCAACTTGAAGCCAAGTCGATCTTGGCACCACAAAACGTTTGCCGAAATGAATACCGAAGCCATCGGATTGGTCACTGCATCAAAAACTTCAGTATGTACGGGGTATGTCCCACATAGTACCGGCCCATATCTCATCCGGAAACGAAAAATGTAAGAAGAGTAAAAATATACAACAGGAGGAGATTCGCTGGTGGTCACCTACCCTACTACTAACCTCCCAGCGTGTGGCTTAAACGCGGCCTGAAGTCGGGTGCCTGCCGCCCGGGTGAGCTAGTGGGATGAGCCGCTTTACGGTCGGCCTCGGGCGAGCTTGGGCGAGTGCTCAATAAATGGGGTGAGCCGCTCACCCTCTTGCGCACTCAGTATACAGTGGGGTGACAAAAAGTGTTTGAAAACCCAAAGCGCGCTGGTAATACAGTCGGTGATCACCTGACGCCCGACAGACAACGAATATCGAGGAGGGCATAGCCCAAAGGCCCTGGCGCAAATAGGTGGATCGGGCGAGGAAAAGGACTAGAACGAATACACAGAGGATAGAAGAGGCTGATAGGGTCTCTAGGGACAAATTAGGGGCAGTGGTCTAGACCACTGCCTAGACGCATGTCTGTCATAGCCAACTGGCTCTACATGGACGTTAAACTTGATTAAATAAATAAATAAATAGTTGTATTAATTTTATATTTAGAAAATATAGATAGATAGATTAAATCTAATTTAAATAATTCTCTCTAACCCGATCTGAGTAGATTCCCTGAATCCAGACAGGGTTAAGGCCCTAGAATCTGTAATCCGAAGCGGATTCTGTTTTCTATCCCCGCCCCCGACCCGGAGCCGGGTTGGGGCGGGTTCGGGTCGGGGGCGGTGGGGAACCCGTGCCACTCTAATTATAACAGAATTTCCAGATTGGTGAAGTAAATCGATAGGGGAAGATATATATATATTAATTAGTATAAATTATGTCTTTAATAGAATAAGATATAGTTACAGCAGAAAAGATCAAGATATAAGAAAAAATAGGATTCAGATTAATACTACTGTGATCGTGGCTACAATGTACCGCTACGTAGGAGAGCTACCGGGTGTAGGAAAACCATGCAGATCCACTAAATGGGGCTGCCTGACCCAACGTGTATATAAAGACCGTAGCTACCCCCCAGACCTACAGAAGGTCGGCAACTCTCTACCTCTCATAGCATACTGCTATTTGCAATCTCACTACTTATTAGAAAATAATATGTAGACACGACAAAGGTTGTACTCTTGTTGTATAGAATATTGACAGGTTACCCTATTATTAATAAAATAGAAATACAACCTAGGAATCAAGAAGAAAGAAAATAGATATAGAAATAAGAGCTTCTATATTAAAAAATAAAATAGAATATAGCTGGGTGAATCAATAAACACGCACACCATACCAGCAGAAGTACGCACCGCGGAACACATCCACTATCGAGAGAATGGACGAATCAGCGGCGGCGTGGGTGCAGTGAACCCTCGCTGCACCACGCACTAGGGTATAGGGTCATCTCACCTCGCAGGGGCAGGGAGATGACCTGTGTACACAGTACTAGTACTAAGTTACCTGGTGTCACGTGAGACGCATACGACCTGCGACCTTGAGCCTTTGGCCAATGGCAATTCATCTCTTGCCGCACTGCTGTGCTGTCTTTCAGCTGGGGTGCAGTTATGTAGCGCCTTCCATGCGATGAGGCTCCTCTCTTCTGGAGATCGAGTCCACGGTTCATCAGCCCTTTTGACTATATTCAGTGTTATCTAAGACTTGGTGTTGCCGAATCTGTGCTACGCCTTCCCTATGGCCTGCCCTCCAAGGGATGCTTTCCAGATTGGCTGGATCTGCGCTCTCCTGGTCGAGGCGGCTGCTGCCGCTGAAATGTTGGACGAAAATTTTGGGATCCTCGAAGAGCAAGATGTTGCGGACTCAAATATCTACACATTGGGCCGAATTGGCAAACACAATATTTGCATTGCCTGCCTCCCTGGAGGCCAGTACGGAACTACCTCGGCTACTACGGTTGCAAACAATATGCTTCGTACCTTCTCCAAGTCACTTCGACTCGGATTGATGGTTGGCATTGGGGGCGGAATCCCGTCAGCTGATCATGATATCCGCCTCGGCGATGTCGTAATTAGCTACCCTCAAGGCACTTATGGTGGGGTGGTTCAATATGATAAGGGCAAGGTTACTGCAGGTGGTGGATTTGAACGAGCCGGCTCGTTGAACAGTCCCCCACGGGCACTATTGACCGCAGTTAGCATGTTAAGAGCTGCGGCACTAAGAGATAATCCTCGCTACCTGCAATATCTCCAAAGCGCGATTGGAAGAACTGAACAAACCCGGAAAAACTTCGGCCGACCTGCTGCACAGTGCGATCGACTATTTCAGGCGAAACGCGATCATCCTGTGAATGCGAGTAGCTGCGATGGATGTCCAGCAGAATGGGAAGAGACAAGAAGTAAACGCGAGGATAGTAATCCGCAGCCACACTATGGCAATATCGCGTCTGGAAACTGTGTTATCAAACATGGAGAGACAAGGGAGCAGATAAGGGTGACGACAGGAGCATTATGTTTTGACATGGAGGCGGCCGGTTTAATGTTGGACTTTCCCTGTATAGTTATCCGCGGTATTTGCGATTATGCCGATTCGCATAAGAATAAGCGGTGGCAAGGATACGCAGCCTTAGCAGCAGCATCATATACAAAAGAGCTGCTAGGATACGTTCCTATTGGCCTTGTTTCACAAGAGAGATTGGTGGTAGATATATGCAGTAAGTGCGGTGTATCTTAACTTCAGATTTCAGGGAGCGCCATTGGCTAACGCGATAATATATAGCTGAATTGAAAGAAGAAATCCAAGGCACCAACCAGCGTTTAGATGAAATCAAAGCTCAACAAGACCAGCACCATCGTGAGCGGATTGAATTTAGAGTCACAGAAGAGCAACGAAGTTGTCATCAAAGTTTCAAGGTGACCAACTACGAGGAACAAAAGAACATCAATCCGAGAAGAGTTGAAGGAACCTGTCGATGGGCTCTGCAGAGCCCTGAATACATTCGCTGGTCGGAGAGCACGCGTTCTGATCTCCTCTTGGTGTCTGCTGATCCAGGATGCGGAAAGTCTGTACTAGCCAGGTCAATTATTGATAACTACTTGGAAGCTCCTAGCCAAGCAGTGATAGTATGTTACTTTTTCTTCAAGGACAACGAAGAACAGAACCATCTTTCTGCAGCAATGTGTTCAGTTCTTCATCAGCTCTTCAGCCAGCGGCCTGAGCTATTACAATATGCTATACCATCCTGGGAAAAGCATGGAGTGACGCTCCAACAAGAGACTGAGGAACTTTGGCGCATCTTTATAAGTGCCACATCAGCTATAGCATCATACAGGACAATTTGTATATTCGATGCGCTTGATGAATGTCGTGAGACTGATCAGGGTCGGTTGATTGAGAAGCTCCAGTCCTTTCACCGCCAGCAATGTTTGTCAACACGGGGTGCCTGTTTGAAATTCTTGATCACCAGTCGTCCCTATGACCACATCCAGAATCGCTTCCGAGTAACCACAGATTCGTTCCCACATCTCCACTTGAAAGGAGAGGAAGAAAATAAAAAGATCCATGAGGAAATCAATTCGGTCGTGAAGATACGAGTGGAGGAGCTAGCCAAAACAGTACCATTGTCATTGGATATACAGCAGCGACTTGAGCAACAGCTTTTACAAATGGAGCACCGTACATATCTTTGGCTACATTTGGCTATGGATGATATTCAGTGTATGTTTGAGAATAGCTTTCAGCCTGCTGAGGAATCAATTCGAATGATACCTGATTCAGTCAATAAAGCATATGAAAAGATTCTCCATCGAGTTCATTCTAGCCAGGTGAATACTGTGAGAATTATCTTACAGATTATTGTTGGAGCACGGCGTCCATTGACTACAGCAGAAATGGCGATAGCTTTGGGTATAGCTATCCGCCCGCAATCGCGGACTATAGCACAAGCTGGACTAGATCCACTGCAGATGCATAAGAAGCTCCGTCGTTTATGCGGCCTTTTTGTTTTCATCAACGACTCGAAAATCTACCTTATTCATCAGACAGCAAGGGAGTTCCTCATCGAAAAGGCCAGTCTGAACGATGTCGATTTCGCATACTCGTGCAGCCTTAGCGATACTGCGGATCTAATGGCTCATATCTGCATGCAATACTTGTTAATGGAGGATTTAGAGCATGGCGAAGATGAGTCATGCTCTAATATTCGGAGCTTTTTGGAGTATTCGGCAGTACATTGGCCCGATCATGTACGGAACATGGCTCTGACTTCAAAAAAAGAAGTCATTGATTGGCTGCATCGACTATATGATATGGGTGGAAACCTGTTTTCGCTATGGTTTTCCATTTTTTGGAGAGCAATGCGGCCAAACGACCGAATTCCGACAATGAAACCATTACATCTGGCAGCATTTAACGGACATATGCAAGTACTGCACCAACTACTTGCTACAGACAAAGATAATATAAATTTAAAAGATAGTACAGGATCAACTGCAGTTATGTGGGCCTCGCTGAATGGACACCAAGATGCTGTTCAACTGATTTTGAGCCACGGAGCGAATGTCAATACTGAAGGCGGAGAGTATGGCAATGCTCTACTAGCTGCTTCCGTAAAGGGATACGATAAAATCGTGCAAATGCTAATAGAATATGGGGCTGATGTCAACTTCTACGGTGGAGTTTGTTGCAACGCCCTATTCGCCGCTTATTGTGGTGGACACTATAGTACCATGCGGATACTGCTAAAGCACGGAGCCGATGTGAATGTTCGGTGTCAATACTATGGTAATACCATACAGGCCATATGTGGCGCAGGAGATGTCGAGACTATGCGAATGCTGCTGGAGCACGGGGCTAGTCTTGTTTGTCAAGGGGACGAGCAATTCGCTAATGTCCTCTATGTCGCTTGTTGGGAAGGCCGGACTAATATTGCTCATATACTCTTGCAGTACGGCGCCAAAGTCAATGCTCAAATTGACTCTTACTGCACATCCTTTCTGTTTGACTGGTACAATGCCGAGGAGTATGTCCAGGTTGATACTTATGACAGTTCCTTAGTGGCTGCTTGCGCCAATGGACATGACAAGATCGTTCAGATGCTGCTAGAGCACGGAGCCAACGTCAATACACAGGATGGATTCTACGGCACCGCTCTACAGGTTGCCTGTTATGGAGGACACAACAAGGTCGTGGAGATGCTGCTAGAGCACGGAGCCGATGTCAATACACAGGGTGGATACTACGGTACCGCCATACAGGCTGCCTGTTCCAGAGGACACGACAAGATCGTGGAGACGCTCCATGGAGTCCGTTGTGGTACCTAGTTAGCCCCTATCATTTCAATTATTGTACTGTACGTCCAGGATCTCATGAGCCTTCTCAAATATACGAGATTCAAGCCGAAAAAGTCCTCTTTTCTGCTTAAATAGGCTTAAATGTTGTTACTCTCCAATCACCTGTCTCAAGGACTAATACTAATTCCTTTATCCTTCTTGTATCTCCCGTTGCCATATTGCCTGTGGTTGATGTAGGTTTATTAATACTGGACGGATACGTGAATGGCTTTTTAAAATATGGTGTCCATAAATCAGTCAATGTTGCAAAATCTAGTAAGAAAGCCAGTCGGTTGTTTCTGTCAGAACATGGTGCGGTAACTGACCGCTAGCGACTGGTCACATGAAAGACCACATTTACATGATTTTCGTATGTAACTCTTGGGTCGATCATTAACTCAGAGTAGCAGAATATATAGAGCAGTGTTTCAACCTGTCCTTCATCACATGCTTATTCTTTAGTCAATCAACTCTTTTATCCTGACTTTGTTCCGCTTGATCTCATTCGTCCTGAATGTATACTAGACTCATAAACCCTGCCCGCTGTGTATAGACAACTCGGTGGCCGAGCGGCGATATCGGAGTCTACATCCGTTGCTTTTTCAATAACGTATAGTAGGCCCCTGTCAGTCTATACCCTAGTACATGGGATACGTACGTACGTCTCGCAACCGCTGCCGCGGATTGGCCCGATTTTGATATTCCCATGTATACCCGATACCCAAAGTGTGTGGTAATATATCTGTGTCTGTATTACCTATTCTTCTTTCTCTTCTCTGTCCTACTCTGTTCTGATTAGTTAGCTATCTAATATCTACTTTGGCTCCTAGCTGTAGAAAAACTAACTACTGTATCTATTAAAGAATAGATATATAGTTAAACTAACAGTATAATTATCAGTAAAGTTATTTTAGAATAATATATCTATATATAGATAGCAGATATACTAATACTATATAATATTAATACTATTAAAACTTATATAAAAACTCTCCATAACTAAAAATAGATAATATTATTTTCTATATTTTTATTGGTCTTGATTAGTGTCACAGATCCGATGATGACTCTGCATGATGACTGTATCGTATACCCTGCCCGTTGTGCATATACAGCTCGGAGGCCGAACGGCGACGACGGATCACATATCCGTCGACTTTTCAATAGCGTATAGTAGCTCCTTGTCAGTCTTATTCTGTTAGGAGAATAAGGGGCTTCTTCTGGATATAAAATTGGCCTAGTGTTAATGAAAGAAGAAGGCAAGAATCAGTCTTCTGTCTGCTGATATCTACTGCTTAGCTTTCTGCCTATGTACCCTTACCTAGTTGACAGGTCTTCTACCCTGACTAGTAGATATTTCCTTGACACAGACTATCTCCGATCCAGAGCAGATTACTATTCCCTACCAGATTGATCAGCTATCTCTCAAGCTGCTAATATATCCTGATAGACTACTATATCGACAGGATTACCCCGGCTATCAGTATATTGGACGGAGCTTAGATTACATATAAGCACTGGCAGACTATTCACAGATAGACTCAGTATCCCTGTAGAGACTGAGCTATACTGAAGGAGCAATAGAGATAGAAATAAGTATCACAGTAGTTATTTATATTAATTAACTATTAGCAGATATTCCTGTTCTGTAAAGAATCCTATTATATCCATGTCTACGGGGGGGAGACGGAGCCGTATATCCCTGTTCCGACTGTACAGATGGACGAGACTATTGCGGCTGTATAGTAGGCAGTTAACCAGACGCAGGCCTACACACAGTCGAGTAACAGAGAGGATATCTACAATATTAACTTATAACTGTGGGTGATCCGCTGGACATAGTACTCTTAGAATTATACTATCCCGGACAATTTCAGCTGATTGCGAGTGCTGGTGGAGACGCTGTTAGCTGATAGCAATAACCCCGTGGAGCAAGAAGTACAACGGATCTGAGAGATAATAGAGGGGATAGTATAGAAGAGCCAGCAGACTGTTCAATACACGGGCCAGGCTATCTGTGTAGAGGCTATTAGATCTGAGAAGGGGCAGACACTGTACCGGCCGTTGTAGATATATATGGATGCGGACAGCGTGGCCAAACATGTACAGTTGTGGCAGCAGATTTTGGCATTCATCGCGCGCACGCAGATAGCCTGTAGCGAGGAGGGGAAGTGTCCCGTGTACAGGATAACCCTCCGGAAGCGCAAGAAATGGCGGCAGCTGTGGTAGATAGCGCAGATCGAATCGGCGGGACTGACCCGAGCTCGCAGTCCCGATCCGATAGACAAGGACAGGAAGAGGGAGGACCCGGAGGACCCTTTCCAGCAGTAACAGATGAGCGAGCTCGAACAGATATATTTAGGATTTTGTATCGAGCTGCTGAACCAGATATATTATATACAGAAGTACAAGAGTACACTGATTTGTGCTATAGCAGTATTGGGGTGCGGGGAATTTAACTGACACGACCCCGAGAGCTATCCCCCGATTTTATTACGAGTAATTAAGATAGTGCGGTTTATAATTGTCTACCAGACACTGTAACTGGATCCTAACACAGTTCAGATTATCGAGACCTGACAGCAGCTGTAGAAGTGTGCAGAGTGGGCACTGCAGAGTACTATCCCCGATATCCCCGACATCGATTCTGTGTACAGCAGCGACAACAGCGACGACAAGCCCGACTCAGTCCGATTGGGGTCGATATCCCCACCCACATTTCTTATACGCAGCTAGGATCCCCTGTCACAGATCCAGTAAAGCCAAAATCTATTGCGGAAGATATTCCAGGAGCAGGTAATCTATATAGTCAGCTATTTGATGATCCGCGGTATATATATTCTTATAGAGATATTGTAGAACTAGCAAATATACAGACTCAAGATCTATTATAATACCACTGCTCCCGGCTATATAATATAGATATAATTCAATTACTTCCTGTATAAGTATAACCAGTTTACTATAGATAATTTCCGCGGCTTTGTCTGCGGGATAGCAGCGGCCACACAGTAGATTTTAAGCCAGGAGCTACTATTAGGTTAGATCTCTGTAATCCTATAACACGCGCTGTACGACGATCCCACATAGGGTACTGTGGGATAGAGCTTTTTGCGGGATTTCTAAATGCGATAGCCGGTAGATAGATTTATATAGCTGCTGGAGCGGGTACAGGCCGAGCCGGATATATAGAAGTAGTTTATCCACTGCCACTAGTCCACGCGGTTCTAGCCCTGACTGGTTATACAGTATTTACAGTAGATAGCCCAATTCAAAGAGAAGCTAGCTGTACTGATCTATATTATTAGAAGATAGCCCAGTCAGGTCCCCGAGCTGCTGAGCTTACAGTATATCAATACTGAGACTAATTGGCGGCGGAATATATTTATTAAGAACAGAATAGTCATATTGTGAAATAATGAAGAATATGAGTTCCTTAGTAAAAGGTAAGATTCTTGAATTCCTATTGATTTTACGAACAAATGAAGGCCTTTTATATCGGCCTAGAATCACGTGGTTGCAGACAAAGAGCCTTTGTTCTAACAAAGGGCCTTTAGGCATCTACACATATTAATATTAGTATATTATAAAGGATTTTACGTGAGTAACAATATCAAGATAATCTGCTACTATATACTGCAGGAGATAAAGAAGCTACTAGTATAGTATTTATAGCTAGTATTACTGTTTGTCCAGTAGCTGGAGACATAGTATTATCAGACTATACAGCTATTCTGCGACGACCCCCTATCAGGGTCAATATCAGGGTCGATATTAGGGTCGACTCCCCGAGTAATACTAGAATTAATATCACTATATCTATAGGGGCCCGATCCATAGATATCCAATTGGCTGCAGGAGGTGTTAAAGCGCGAGACCAAAATGCAGCTGCATTATCTAATTGGGATCCAGGTGTACTGTAATATCGCTATTGGGATTAGTTGCCGGTGGATACAGCCGAGCAGTCAGTTTGCCAGCGATATCTGCGAGGAGCGGGAGGCGGCTCAGGCAGTGTTAGACATGGACATCGAGGAGTATATAGACAAGGCGTAGTGGATAGAATATATTATAGACTTACAGACAGTGTATTTATTGTATATAGCGGGTATAGTATTCAAGCAGGGAATTATAGAGTAGGCCGGGACTATAGTATACTGTCAGTATATATTCCGGTTGTCCAGTATAGACTGATACTGATTTTTAGGGTTTATATCGGCAGAGGATAATCCAGAGACCAGTTCTAATTCTAGTTCCAATCTCTATAAATACAAACACGCGCTGTGGAAAAAGAAGATAGATAAGAGCCAGATTATACAGCAGCGCCGGTTTAATATAATAGATATAATATAGATACTACAGTAAATAACCGGCCAGAAGACTATACAGTTCTGTAGAGTATAGGCAGCCGTGCGGTAGATAATTTAGAACAGTAAGAGCCCTGTAGTAGCAGTAATATAGACAGGTAAGGGGAAGAGTATACTGTTTATACTACCTATATTTACAGAGCCTGGAAGAATTACAACTGTGGTTATACCACTGCTATTACTATACAGAGATATAATATAACAGTACCAGATATTAGATATTTTATATATATTGTAAGAGAGCTGTCGACTGCTAGACAAGGTTACAATTGTGTTGATAACACTGGAGTCTATAGTTACAGAGGATTTCTATATATTTATCAACCGGCTGAAGTAGACACAGTAGCTAGATTAGATTATAATTAACAAGTACTATATTATATTAAATAACTAGCGGAATTTCTAATCTGAACTATAGTAGCTGGAACAGTTGAACTATATATAGATATAGATAGTATTACTAACAGCCATATTACTTCTTATATTGGAGGGGATATTATTTCAGTATATAGAATACTAGACAGATTAGGTCTAGATACTATAGAACCACAGTAGCTGTCCTAATATAGTATACCGGATATAGTATATTCCCGGTAGATTAATATAATTTAGCAGCGAGCCATTACTGATATTTATCCAATAGTAAATCAGGCGGGTAGGATAATAGAATAGTAAAATAATTATTTATACTAATACTATTTAGTAGATAATTAAACTGGCCCAGAAACTGTAGTATAAGATATATTATAGTAGATAGATTGACAAGCTATCG